TGGGAGCAACTAAGCAACAATAAAAATAAAATAAAAAAAACAACTGACACACTTTACCAAGTGCAGGAACTATCTGACCAGGACACGGACAATGACAATAACGAACAAGACGAAGACCTCGACTAGGAAACTGCAGCGAAATAACAACTCCCCAACTCCAAATAGTAATCCCAAATGTTTGGAGTAATACTAATCGACTAGGGGGATTCCGCGTCGTACTTAGTTTTAAGTCGGCGTAATTGTCCCCCAAAAACCAACACCCTCCCGTCCCTCCTCCTCTATACCCTACTGGGCGTATAGCATCGGCTCGGCGAACCCGAGAATGGCTATTAAAACTATTCGCATGTCGCTCTCGAGCCCCAAATAGGGAACAGTACGGAACGCAATGGACATTCGCACCCAGCAAACACTGGTGAAGCCGTGCAGTTGCTGGGGAGAACAAAAATCGGCGTAAGTAAACATAGGCCTGTATGGGGTCCGGGAGTGATGAGGCAATGGGGCTGGTTATACGTCTCTTATACTCATACTCATATATGATTTCGATATAATAATAATATTTCGAAATAATTATTTACAATATACTCACTCATTATAAATAATTATTTCGAAATATTATTATTATATCGAAATCTTAAGATTTCGAATTTGAGAGTTTGAATCTTGATTTTTTATCCAAAATTGTAAATGTGAAATCTAAAATTTCTTATTTTAGATTGCAAATTTATCATTTTTATTTTTTCATCTCTGAATTTCTATTTTTGACTAAGAATGTATATTTCCTATTCAAAATTTCAGACTTTCGATGTGAAGTACCTATTCAATTTCGAGTTTAGGATTCTAGATTTGTAATTTTAAATTCCCAATAAACCTATGTTTTTTTCAAAATATATAATTCCAAATTTTGAGTTTGAAAAAAAGCAGGCAACGAATATTTATTACTACAAAAAAATCAAAATTTTTATTTTTTCATATTGAACATTTTTCTTTTATTTTGATAAAAAAAAAATTTCTCTTGCCACTTCTGGGGGGCCCCCTGGTGCTCGGGGCCCCGGTCTCTGAAACCGGTAGGACCGGTGGTACTTACGCCACTGACCAATAGGTAATTTCCAATTGAATTCAATTGGGCATTCCCAGTGTAGGATTTTAGCTAATTGGTTATTCCAAATAATTTAAAATATGGAAAAGTCCAATTAGGATTCTACTGTTTTTTAGTGGTTTCGATTGGTTAAAGCTACCCATAGGTAATTTCAAATTGAATTCAATTGGGTATTCCCAGTGTGAGATTCTAAAAAGGAATCTGCTAATTGATTCTTCCCAATACTTAAAAATATCGCAAGAATCGCAGCTACACGAGAGCCTTAAGGCTCTCGTTTAGCTGCGCAAAACCAACGTACGCCATCATAAAGAAACAAACAAGTCTTTGGACGCTATTTAATGTCGTTTTTTTATTAGTCGGTTTCTGTGCTTAGTGGTAGTTGTGTACTTCTAGTGGTGTGTACTTATACCCTAAAAAAATGTTTATATGTGTAAGGTTGGGTGACGTTCATAATATCGAAATTCACTTTATCGAATTCAAAATATCGAACACTTTTTATCGAAAATCAAAATATCGAAAATACAAAATGTCGAAAATCAAAATATCGAAAATTAAAATGTCGAAAATGATAATATCGAAATTTTATTTAATCGAATTTTCAATTTATCGAAAATAAAATATCGACGTTCATAATATCGAAATTCACTTTATCGAATTCAAAATATCGAACACTTTTTATCGAAAATCAAAATATCGAAAATACAAAATGTCGAAATTTTATTTAATCGAATTTTCAATTTATCGAAAATAAAATATCGACTGCTTAAAATATCGATTATAATAATATGGACATATAAAATATCGAAATTACTGAATATTAAAAATTACAAAGTGACTAGAAGTACACCAGGAGTATCGACATTAAACGTACACCGGGTGGAAAAAAATTCTTATTTAGCATATTTGTCAAATTGTATAATATTAAATGGTCGTTCAATTTCGCGTTCAATGATCTACTTCCCTATTTTTCACAGAAAAAAACAACACAAACCCAAACTCCATAATATGGAGTTTGGGTTTGTATATATATGGTAATCAACAAATTTTATTTTTGCTAACACAAAATATATAGCTGTAGAAGTAGGCTTTTTAAATATTTCAATTAATCGACATATTATTTTAATCCGAAGTGTATATGTACAGAGGCGCCTCTGATATAGAAATGTACTCAAACTCAACAACACAACCCAACCGACCCCGCCCCATTGGCCCCCCCCCCGCCCCATTGAGCAAAAAACCCAACTAAAATGGGCTAATTTATGTAATTAAAAAGTGTTTTATTTTTATCGTAACATGAATTTGCCCATTTTAGTTGGGTTTTTTGCTCAATGGGGCGGGGGGGGCCAATGGGGCGGGGTCGGTTGGGTTGTGTTGTTGAGTTTGAGTACATTTCTATAAAACGCGCATCTCTAGGAGCCAGGGAGCCAAGCCTCTGTACATATACACTTCGATTTTAATCATACATTTTAATTTTCGATATTTTTAAATCGATATTTTAATTTTCGAAATTTTAATTATTCGACATTTTCAAATCGACATTTTAATTTTCGATATTATCATTTTCGACATTTTAATTTTCGAAATTTTAATTATTCGACATTTTCAAATCGACATTTTAATTTTCGATATTATCATTTTCGACATTTTAATTTTCGATATTTTGATTTTCGACATTTTGTATTTTCGATATTTTGATTTTCGATAAAAAGTGTTCGATATTTTGAATTCGATATAATGAATTTCGATATTGTGAACGTCACCCTGTAAGGTTTAGGGACGATGGCGTGAGAATGGTGGTTACAGCATCGTCCCTTATAAGTTATGTGTATCAATACATCAATACATATGTATGAGATATATCTCACTATCAGAAAACAAATAATAAAGAAATAATTATTTTATTATATTATTATTTATTATTTTTTTTTTAAGTTACCTACTCAGTTATAATAATTTTTTTGTCTCTTCTGTGAAAATGAATTCTGGTTTTTACCCGGTTATTCTTCTGGGATCTTAATTATTTTGAATGAAAAATCAACTGGTATTTTTAATCCAAATTTAAAAAATAAATTGGTACAAATTGGTTTGAATGGGTTTGGCGCTATGAATTACCAATTCATTTCAGGTGCATTTCTATTGGATTTAGCCACAGTCTGTGGATTTAGCCAATAGAGACAAGCATAGGCATGGATTTGTATATTCCAATTTAAGCCGCTGACTTCATTGGAACTTACTAACACTGTTAGTAAGTTCCAATGAAGTCAGTCTAACAGGAATGCAACTGGAATGAATTGGTGATTCATAGCGCCAAAACACATTTCAGACCAATTCAAACCAATTTTACTAATAATTACCAATTACTTAAGTAACAATTACTTAAGTAATAATTATTTTTATTGGATTCTATCGGTCATTTACAATAAGGATTTTAAACCAAAAATTAGTATAAAAAACTCATACGATCTAATTAACAAAATTAAAGATATCCGACTACCTGATAATGCTAAATTAATCTCATTTGACATCTCTAATTTATTTCCTAACGTGCCACCACTAAAAACTTGCAATATAATAGAAAAATTGTTAGAACAAAATAAAATTAACCCTATTATTAAAAATGATATCTTAAGTAGAAATTTGCTTAAAACAAAATTATTTCCAATTTAACAACAAAATTTATATTAGCTGTAACGGTTTAATTATGGGTAACCCTCTTAGTCCATTACTTGCAGACATTTTCGTTAACCATATAGAATCAATCATCCAGGAAAGCATATATTTTAAAAATTTCTTATATTGGTTCCGATATCCCATGGGAAAAAATCGTTTAAAAAAAAGACGATCGTCTGAAAAAGATCGTCTATTTTTAAACGATATCGCTTAATTTTTTAAACGATCTTTTGTAAAAAAGACGATCGTCTGAAGAAGATCGTCTACTTTCAAACGAAATCGTTTAATTATTTAAACGATCGTCTTTAATCGTCTTAAATAATAGCCGACCCTAAAGACGATCGTTTAAAGTGATAAACGATACAAAAGGCGATCGCCTAAAATAATAGTCGAAAAAAGACGATCATTTTAATTAAAATTTTAAGTTATAACTTAACCGATGAGAAAATATTTTTATTTTGTCATAATTATTAATTAAATTAATTAAAAAAATAATTCTAAAGGCGATACCTAGGTATCGCCTTTAGAATTATTTTAGGTAGCTACCTACTTCGAATAATAGACAATTCCAAATATTCCAAAGTATATTTGAAATTCTTTATTATAATAGAGAAGAATTTCAAATATATATTTCGTCTGTACAGCCGACCGCCTAACCTACGCAACCGATTGAATCGTTTGAAAGACGATCGTTTGAAAGACGATTGGACGAATTCGCGTCTAAAGACGATTTTTCCCCATGGGATACCAAGAAGCCTTCTTGCTCAAGACTTAAAAATTAAAGTATACAACGTTTATTATTCTAAAAATTAAATCATCAACATGGAAACTAAATTTCCCCTTAATTAGTCTAATTATTGATAAAAAATACACGTAATAAGTGTAAAATATGAAATTCGGAATTATGCGGATTTTTTTCCTTCATCACCACCCCACTACTAGGTCAAATACGAATATTCAGCGCTAAAGATCTGGCATCACTGTGTGTACCTATGTTTAATTCTGGAACAAACCTTCTAAGGGAACAAACACATTACAATTAAACTACTGAGTACCATGTTGCCATTTTCCAAAATTAAACAGTTATAAATAATAATGTAATAACTATATAAAGTTTTATAGCACACATAATGGTATTATAATATTACCTAAAAAAACAATTTTGTATCAAGTATCCATGATTTGCGTCCTTATCTATCAGATTAGGAAAGACATGTCTAAAATCTAAGGTGTAGGCAACCCTTTATACTCACTTGTCAAAATTCTGGTTTAACCTAAAAAAAACTGTTTGGGAAATCTTCTAAATTGTAGTATTTTTTGCTAGTAAATCTTTTACAAATATGTACACATCAGCCAGAAGACTCGCATTCAACTCAACATATGGTAAGATTAAATATAATATAAATGAAGAAAACTTTTTAAAATGAACTTAACTTTTTTTAAAATATGTAGGTAGGTAAAAAATTTAATCCTAAAATATTATAAAACTTCTATTAAGGTATATATTTTATTTTATTTATTAAAAATCAGTTCTCTTTTTTATGAACTGGCTATTTCTTTCAAGGAAACTGCAGTTAAATTTAAATAAAAAAACTCTTTAACCCTTATGTGACTAAATGGGTACTCCAGTATCTATTCAGCTTTTAGATATGAATATCTTTTTTGTTTAAAATCGAGCAGTTGTCGATTATGTGACATTTCTAAACTAGGTATTTTCTACACAATATAATTATAATTTGAAATACACTTTTACGCTTTTTTTAAATAAATAATGTTCAAAGTTTTTTTACACACAAATGACGGATTGGGTACCCAGGTACCCTTCAGTTTAAAATGCCAAATGATATATTTTGTTGCTAAACTGAAAACGCAATGTTTATCTACATCTATAAATTAGTATAAAAAGTAATAAAAAATAATACCCGCACTTGTTTATTCAACAGTGTAAAGAAACAACTAAACTGTCAATACTAGTCCGCAATCAGCTGATTCAGTCGCTGCGTTTTTGCCGTTTAAATACATAGGTATATCGCACAAGTTAATAGCTTACTTATTTTTTACTTAAGTATACTTAAATACATTCATACAAAAACACAAAAGCAGATATTTTACGTTTAATATCCAAATTAATAAAATCTGGGTACCCAGGTACCCACCCCATCATAGGAAGGTGTTTTTTTTCAGTCACATAAGGGTTAAGCAATCTTGTTATTAATCCCTAACAACTTACATAACATAAATATTTAAAATCAGAACCTAGTTAGAAGTTTCATGAAAATGCATTTATAGCAACTGAGAGAAAAGAATATTTTTAACAAACGTTGCAATTGTTTGAACCTGATAGCTTTGAATCAAACAACTGAAATTAGTGCTTTTGCTTAGAATAGGTGAACTGCTTTGCCAAAAATGGTTGATTCGTTTAGGGTGCTGTGTTTGCTTGGAATATTATTAAGTTCTATGCAAACTTTGTACTGATAGTCATTAAGATTGGGTTTTTTACGTTTGAATAAAATGTATGTAGGTTTCCATAAAACGTGCAATATTTTTCACTAAAATTTATTAACTGAAATAGATAAAACTCGATAAAACTTAATATAAATCTGCTACCATTTTTGCGAAAAGCTCAGCATTTGCAACAAATAAAATAAGTTTGTGGCAAACATATCGAAGTTAATGGGTGATTGTGCTTAGTTTGGAACGTGCAATTTTTGGAGTGGGGGAACGCCTCTTAAAACGCATCTTCTCGTGCACGTACAGTGTCTTATAAAGTTTTAAATTTGCCTCCACTTATACATACGGTTCTTACAAAATAATTTGGCTTCCATGGAAACATTTGGATGAAACGGCATAACATTTAAGAATATTGTATAAATCGTCGGCTTTATCACGAAGTGGCCTAACCCACAAAATTGAAAACAGTGACATTTTGCGAGAGTTAACTTACTTAATTACGATGGTCTATTTTATTACTCCAAAGTTACTCCGAGGTGGCCTATAGTACAAAGTCTGTACTATAAAAATACATTTCTTGATAATAAAATAAACCATTGTAAGTTAATCTGAAAAAAATCTCATTTTGTTTTTCAATTTTGTGGGTTAGGCCACTTCGTGATAAGGCCGACGATTTATACAATAGGGTCAGTCCATATCAAATCAACCAAAGGTTTTTCCCTCACCCTCTCCGATTTTAATAATTTTTGGTAAATTTGTTTACCTCACTAAAAAACTCAAAAATCTCAAATTTGAATTTTTTTCGATAGGTGGTTTTTGTTTTATTGATTTTTGAAAATCAAAAAATTACCGATTTGGGTCTTGCAAGTACTTACAAATATAGCGATATCTCGTAAACTATTAAACTTAGAAAGGTGAGTGATGGCTTATTTTAAAGGCCTATTAGATACCTTTTTTTTGATATATCACATGACCTAAATTTCTTTCAAAAAAAAATTTATAATTTCGAAAAAAAAAATTTTTCTTAAATCTCAAAAATACCTTTTTTTATTTTTTTCAAAAAAATATATATTTTTTGTGCACATTTTGATAAGCTATGTTCAAAATTTCAAGATGGACACTCAACGGGTTCATGGTGAAAAAAATTATAAAGGAACTCACTAACATACAAAATAATATTTATGGGTCATTTTACTCCAAATAGTTGATGAGTTTGATTTTGTACCTTTGATTTTTTCACTTTTTTGCAGCCGCACGGTGGGCTGGGATACAAATCTAACTGGACAAAATTAGTTAACTAATTTTGTCCAGTTAGATTTGTATCCCAGCCCAGCAAACATGGTGACGTCATAATCACGGCATTTTTTGGTCACAAGTTACGTCATATTCACCCTTAACATCACGTCAAAATCAAGTCTTTAAAACGGGCAAATGTCACAGGCCGTTGACGTAATATTAGGACGTACAAACAACGTCATTTGCCGTAAGTACTGACGTCTTAAAGACGTACAATAGTTGTCATTTATTGTAATAAATAAAACAAGGAAATATATTATAAATGTCATATATTATAAAATATAAATAAATAAATAAAATATAAATTCTAAATAACAAACTTAATAGAGTAGACCCATCCCATAAATCGAACATTATGGATAGCTCGAGCTATCATTGGCTTCTTCACCATTTTTTAATGCCTTGTCGTATTTGCACTGTTGTTTATAAGGTGGCCAGTAAACTTCTTTTTTGCGAGGAGTTAGCCACTTTGTATTGATAGCGGAAATTCCCCCGTCATGACGCGTCACCACGTACGTTCGTCGTGTGCAAACTCAACTACGACGTACATCTTTTAAACACCTAGTATAGGTATATGTAAATAAATTAAGAATGATTTAATAATTATGTAAAACCTACCTATTGATCCGCAGTTACTGCACTTAATTGTAGATTTGCACAACAGTTATTAATTAACTTAATTTAACCGAATAACAGAATAGACGCCACCGCGGTAGTGCACCGTTGCAAAGCATGGACGGTTAGAAATGATAAAGCAATCGCAGCTTGCCACTAAAGTCAGCTGATCTCACAGTGGTCAGCTGACTGTGAATCACAGTCTGTGATTGGTGGTATCGAGCACGGCGTTCTTTACTTCCCACACTTCACAAGTTACACAAATTTTTGTCTGTTTTTTTTTTATTCGGAATAATATAAATACCTATATAGGTATTGACAGCAATGAAATTGTAAAACTAAATTAAGAATTAAAAAATACTTTGTTTAAAATAGTATTTCGTTATTGTCTTGTAGGATAATTATTTGTTCATAGACGGATTTGCGTGTCATCGATGATAGGGATTTTTTTTTTATTTTTTCTGATAAAAAAATAAATTTGGTCTACAAAAAAATTGGGATTTTCAAAAATTAGGTAGTACGATCTATACCTACTACGTACGTATTATTATATATTTATTACGTGATATAAAATCACCTATTGAAAACGTCAGAAAGACGCAACATAAAAACATCTAAATGACGTCGGAAATGTGACGTCATAAACCCGTCTTTTATTGGTCATGTGACGTCGCCGACGAAAGGTGACCTTAAAATATCGTCAAAAATTAGCAAAGCCATATTAACCGCATATTTAACTTAAATAAAAATAAAAAATATTTTAATAGTGCTTTGCTAATTTTTGAGGGAGTAATTAATTTTTTCTAGTTAGATTTGTATCCCAGCCCACCGTGCAGCTGAACAAAAGTGAAAAAATCATAGGTACAAAATCAAAATCAATTATTTGGAGTGAAATGACCATAAATATTAATTTTTTGTAGGTTAGTGAGTTCCGTTATATTTTTTTTCACCATGAACCCGTTGAGTGTCCATCTTGAAATTTTGTACATAGCTTAACAAAATGTGCACAAAAAATATATATTTTTTTGAAAAAAATTAAAAAAGGTATTTTTGAGATTTAAAAAAAAAATTTTTTTTTCGATATTAAAATTTTTTTTTTTAAGAAATTTAGGTCATGTGACATATCATAAAAAATGTATATAAAAGACCTTTTAAACAAGCTATTATTCAATTTTTTATTTTGAGTAGTTTTCGAGATATAGCAATTTTTGTAAGTACCTGCAAGACCAAAATCGGCAATTTTTTGATTTTCAAAAATCAATAAAACAAAAACTACTCGTCAAAAAAAATTAAAATTTGAGGTTTATGAGTTTTTTGATGGGTAGATTAAGTGTAATAAAAATTATCAAAATCGGAGATGGTGAGGGAAAAAAGTGACCTTTTTTTGGTTGATTTGATATGGACTCACCCAATATTCTTAAACATTATGCTGTTTCTTCCAAAGAAACCGCATTTTCTTCAGAAATGCACGTCCGTTTAATGGAAATGAACTTAATTGGTAACAAGCAGATACCAATTTTTCCTAAAATTAGTAAGTTTAAGGCAAACCTACATCGATTTATACAAAATCGACTATACTAGTAGCAAGCAATTACCAATTTATCAGAAAAGTATTCAACAAAGAATTCAAACTCAGCAAATTTGACACAAATCTAGATGCGTTTCGTTCAAAAGCAGTTTTCCGGAATCGCCAAAGTGATGGTTTTTTACCATTAAACCTTGGTATATTCCGCCGTATTTAAATATGTCATACGTTTGAAACAAACTTTATGCCTTTCGCTGAATCAAAACCTTCTCTCGCATTTATAGCAAGATGAAATTATTGTTAAGATTATGATTGTTTTATGTAGATTGGTCATGGTCTTTTAAAATGTTTAATAATAATTTGTTTATCTCAAAAATTGACAATGCCACAAATTTCCGAAGTTGAGTGTTACCTACTACAACAAACCCCTATGCTGTGCGAATTTAAATGGCCTCCTTAGTCCAGGAAACAAAGATTGTTGAAGGAAAACTCGATGGTAGTCGGGTTTTATTTTTTTTTATGTAGAGTCAGGGGTTCTGATAATGAATGAAGAATATTTCCCAAAAATTTCTTTCCGCGTCCCCTAATTTCATCACCCGAAAGGGGAGTTTTTTTGCTTTTTGGCTCATAACTCGCTAACCGTGCATTTTTTCAGAATTTGACTTCTAATACTTTTGATTATGTACTAAATAAGGCACACGTTAAACCCCATTGCGCACCTATATGATGTGCCATTTTGCTAGTACCTCAAAAAATCGTCCATTCGGTTATGTTTGATTACCGTAAGGTTTGGGATCGATTACTTTTAAAATTGGGCTATAATAAAAAAAACAAAAAAGTGATTTTGAAAGCAACGCTCAACTTTGCACACTGAGCATAGCAAAAGGGCACATCATATAGGTGCGCGATGGGGTTTAACGTGTCCCTTATTTAGTACATAATTAAAAGTATTGGAGGTAAAATTCTGAAAAAATATACGGTTAGCGAGTTATGAGCCAAAAAGCAAAAAAAACTTCCCTCTCGGGGGATGAAATTAGGGGACGCGGAAAGAAATTTTTGGGGAATATCGAGTTTTCCTTCTACAATCTTTATTTCCTGAACTACTGTAAAATTTCATTTTTGGACCTAGATAGAACAAAAAAATTCTCGAATTTGTGACACATGCTTGAATATTTTTTTTTAAATTTTAATATTTTATAATTGCCTACTAAACAATAATCCTTAATTTTCTTTCAATTCTTGCAATTGTTAAAATATAATTTTAGCACGAATAAGAAGTTTCTGTGAAATTAAAACAGCAGTAAAAAAATCAATTAAAGATGAACAAATAAATTCAGCAAATAAAACTTTTGGTCAACCTACTTTTACTACACATCCACATATAATTACAAGTGAAAATGAAGTAACACCTTTAATAACAAAAGAAGAATATTCCAATAGGAGACATAACTTTGTTGAAAAACTTGTGCAACATGTTAAAAACCAATCTAATGAAAATAAAAGGCATTTGGTATTTATAAACGTTTTACTAATTATTTTATAATAAAAATATTTTATTTTAGATTGTTATACCAGCTGCTACTAAGCAATACATGTCCGACAAAATTCCCTATGTTTTTAGACAAAATTCAGAATATCTTTATTTAACAGGCTGTCAAGAACCCGACGGGTGCCTTATAATAACAATAAATGAAAATTTGACAAGTTCAAGCTCAACATTGTTTACTAGAAACAAAGATCCTCATGCAGAGACCTGGGATGGCCCAAGGACATATCCTGAGGATGCCCCTGATTTTTTTGGGGTAGATAATAGCCTTCCAATCAGCGAGCTAGAAAATTTTATAAGTTCCTACAGAAAGAACAAGAGGAACATAACATTGTGGTATGATTTTTTAAATCCAGTACAAAACTTTACACATAAAGCTGTGACTGATTTTTTGCACAACACTGCCAGCAGAACTTGCGACTCGCCTGTTAGGTTTGTTCACGAATTAAGGCTGTTTAAAAGTCCTGCAGAAGTTGCTTTAATGCAGAGGTCATGTGATATTGCTTCAGAAGCCATTGCTGATACCATATCAAATTCAAAATCAGGTAGAAATCATTTTTTTTATTATCTTAATTGTAAAATTATAAATATGTATTTTATTTTAAAAAATGATTTTACATTGATCACATTTTTTCTATTAAAAATGATTTTAAAATCATATTAAAACACAAATATATCAATTTAATTTTTATAAATAAGAGGCAAATTTACGCGGCAAAAATTATTCTTTAAATATTTTTCCCAAGACGTGTGTTTTTTATATGTTTTTAAGGGTGCTAAATTTACTTCTTATATATATATTTTTTAAAATACATATTTCGTATTGAGGGGGCTAGCCAAATGATATAAAATGATTTTTTTTAATATTTGTGTATTTTGTTTTTTTTTTATGTTTTATATTTGATAATTTATTTGTTAAATAAATAAATGTTTATAGTTCGTACCAGGGGGCGATCGCCAATGTTGGCGATTGCAACATTGCGCAAGCATAATTTTTTATCATGAATAACCGAAAAACCATTACCTTCAAGTATCAAAAATATTTTATTATATCAACATTTTACATTTCACCATATTTCTTTTTAACAACCCTTTAGCCAATATCGTGATGGTTGACAATAGGAAAACTTATTATTTTTATTATGCGTTAAATACTCTTGCTTGTTTTAAAAATAAGATTCATATAGAACATTAATAATTATTATTATTATAATTATTATTATAATTATTATTGTACTACCCTCTTAAAGCACTTTGCTGTTTTTTTATTTTCTGAGCACCCTGGACATTTAATTAAAAATGTTTGTTAGGAATCTCATTTTTAAATACAAGCATAAGTTTTTATGAAGAATGATTTTTTGCGATTCCGTTACGAATATCTTACCACATTTCTCTCTTATTTTGGTATATAACTTTTTTTTAGTTTCTGAGCACACTGTATATATAATTCATCTTTTTATGAAAGTCTTAATTTTTAACCATCAAATATTTTCAAAAAGAATTCATTTTTCCAAAAGCACTTTTAGTTTTTGTTTTTTTTTTCAGTTTCTGAGCACCCTGTACATTTTGTTAGGTATATGGACAGTGAAATAAAAGATATTATAATTTAACTTTTAAATATTTAATTGTCTTTAGTCTAAGACAACTCGGAAAGCAAGCGTAGAGGAGACTAAAACTAAAAGTGATACAAAATATTATTAGAGCACACACGCCCTATTTCATTCTTACATAAACATATGCAAGCACGTAACATTAACTGTGCTGATATTATAAACAGTAAATCTACGAGGTAAAGATAAAGAAGTTTTATTTAATAATATTTGGTTTAACTAATATATGTTTATATCAGCTTATTCAACACGCCACCTCAAATATTATTCAAATAAGTAAAATTAAAATAACATAAAACTAAAATTATGTTAACATAAAACTACAATACCATGTAACTAAATAACATACGTAAGTTATAACTTAAGAATATAAGTATCTAGACCTGCTTTCCTTATGTTTGTCTTTTCTGGGAAAATTACAATGATGGTCCAGCATTTGCTGTTTAAGATTAGGGAAAACCCAGAAAAACCTAATCAAACCATTTAACTTATTCAATACTTTCTAACCCTAATTCCTTTTTTAATTCTTCAAATCTCAGTGCCGGTAATGATTTTGTAAACATGTCAGCTACTTGCTTATCTGTGGACAAATGTTTTAATTTAATTACACCTTTCTCTACTTGTTCCCTAGAAAAATGATACTTTATATCAATATGTTTTGATCTTTTATGATTTGTTGGATTATTAGCAATACTTATGCAACCATTATTGTCTTCATATATAATGATTGGCTTAGATACATTTAAATTTATACTTATTGCTAATGACTTTAACCAAAGAGCCTCCCTGACAGCTTCAAATAGAGCCATATATTCGGCTTCAGTAGATGATGCCGCTACTGATAACTGTCTTTTTGTATTCCAACATATTACACATTTTTCAAATAATTTAAATAGGTAACCAGTTGTGCTTTTCCTATTTTTTTACATCATCACCTCCCCAGTCAGAATCTACATAACCACTTAAGACATTGCTATAATCACATTTAACATATGTTAACCTTAAATTAATTGTACCCTTAAGATATCTAAGGACCCTTTTTAAGCATTGCCAAAGCTCTTTATTATTATTGTTTTGGTACCTGCTTAAAATATTAACAGCAGCACTTAAATCTGGCCTGGTACACAACATAATATACATCAAACAGCCGATAAGATTTCGGCAAGGGCAATCATATTTTACTTCAGAATTTAACTCATTAAAATTTAGTTTACTGGGAAGGGGAGTGCTGACAGCATTACAGTCAAACATATTAAATTTATTTAAAACAGTATTTATGTATGACGATTGATCTAAAGAAATTTTATCATTTATTCTTGTAATTTTAATACCTAAAAACAGTTTAATATCTTTTAAATCAACCATACAAAATTTATTTGCCAAATAACTTTTAAAACTACTCATTGTATCACTATTTGCAGTGGCAATCACAAGATCGTCTACATAAAGAACAACATAAATATTTTTACATATGGCACCTCTGTCTAAAATATAAATACAGCGGTCAACTGATGAATTCTGAAAACCTTTGTCTATAAGAACCTTTTCAAATATTTCAAACCAGCATCTGGCAGCTTGTTTTAGCCCATACAAAGCTTTATGCAATTTACAAACTTGGTTTGGTTTACTTGTGACCCCTTCAGGGACCTTCATATAAATTTCCTCCTTTAATGTCCCATTTAGAAAGGCTGTTTTAACATCCATATGATGTACTAAAAGATTAAATTGATTTGAAAAGGCAATTATAAACCTAAAAGATGTAATTCTTGCTACTGGGGCAAATGTTTCATCATAATCTACCAAGTATTCTTGACTAAAACCACGCGCTACTAAGCGAGCTTTATATCTTAACGGTTTTCCAAATTCATCATTTTTAATCGAAAACACCCATTTGCAGTCCACTATATTTTTATTTTCTGGTCTTGATACCAATGACCACGTTTTGTTTAACAAGAGGGAATTTATTTCGTCTTGTACAGCTTGTTCCCACTGAAATGTATCTTCTCTATTTTTAATTTCCTTATATGATAAAGGAATTTGACAAACAACTGATTGAGCACATATAAAATGATCATTTGTCGAATCAGTTTCTTTATAAGAAATAGGCAAAAGATTCTTGATTCTACCACTTCGTCTTAGTTGAGGTTCACACTGAATATTATTATTTGGCATATCTGTTTTAATTACAGATTTATTACACTCATTATTATTAACCACTGATCTTGACAAACTGTCAGAGGAGTCAGTTTCTTTACCTACTGATCTTGACAAACAGTCAGAGGAGTCAGTTTCATTACCTACTGATCTTGACAAACAGTCAGAGGAGTCAGTTTTATTACCTACTGATCTTGACAAACAGTCAGAGGAGTCAGTTTCATTACCTACTGATCTTGACAAACAGTCAGAGGAGTCAGTTTCTGGCCTGGACGATAAAAAATTTGTCTCATCTACAATAACATCCCTTACTATAACAAACTTATTGTTATTCACATCCCACACTTTATACCCATTTGGTTCAAAACCAACTAGTATAGCTTTCCAGGATTTATTGTAAAATTTTGTTTTTCTAGTTTTATTATGTACATAAACAGTAGAACCAAAAACTTTTAAATATTTTACTTGCGGCTTTTTATTATGCCACATTTCATATGGTGTTTTTAATTCATTTAATGCTTTGGTAGGGGTTAAATTAATTAAAAATGTTGCAGTTAAAACTGCCTCACCCCAAAAACATTTTTCTAACTTGGCACCAAAAATCATTGAACGAGCTTTTTCAGTAATTGTCCTAACCATTCGTTCTGATACACCATTTAATTGTGGGGTTCGTGGAACTGTCAAATGATAACTTATACCTTTTTGCACACAAAAATCTTTCATTTCAGTAGCCAAATATTCCCCTCCATTGTCACAATATAAATTAACAATTTTTAAGTTAAAATGTGCCTCACTTTTAGCAACAAAATCTTTAAATACAGAAAATACATCTGACTTGTGTGTTATTAAATATGTAACACAATAGTGAGTATATTCATCAACAAAAAGAACAAAATAATTTTTATTATTAACTGTTGAAGGAGTGATAGGACCACATACGTCAGAATGAACTCTATACAAGGGTCGTTTAATATCCCTTTTATCTTTATGTTTTTGGAATGGCAGTCGTGCTTGTTTACCACTTATGCAAGCTTCACATAAATAGTCATTAGGTGTAACCTTATCGATTTCTCCTAAATCTTTTACCATAAGTTTATTTCTTAATTCTAAAAATTTAAATTTGCTTATATGCCCCAAACGTTCATGCCACAATTTATAATCTTTAGTTATATTTGTACTACTATGTGCTTGCACAATACTATTAATTACATCCCTATTAACAATAAATTCAGCAGCAATTAAAGTGGTTAAAAACTTACCCTTAATAACAGGCTTACTGTTTTGGTAAATAGTAGCACCTTTTTCATTAAAAATAATAGTCATACCAGCCTGCTGCATTTTTCTTACGGACAACAAATTGTAAGGGACCTCTGGACAATATAACACATCCTCAAAAATTCCCTGGATACCCATATTACTTGTAACCTTGATGGTGCCCTTTTTGGTTGCTGATATAAAAGTCCCACTTTTTGCCACTGAAATTTTCATTGGTGTTTGGAGCTCGACAAAACTGTTGAATATATCATCTCGGTTGACAATATGATCGGACGCTCCCGAGTCCAGGATAAAAGTAATATTATTTTCTTCCTCCATATTTTGAAAATCTCCAGTCATAAAAGCAAAACCAGATGTATTATCCTTCGATGTTGACGGCTTTTCTAATTGAATTGTTTGAATGGTTCTATTTCTTTCATTATTTTTAGATAGACTCTTTTTATAATAAAAACATTGTTTTTTATGTGCCCATTTCTACCACAATGATGACACTTTATAGCCGAGGATAAATGATTTGTGGTGTCGGGTTTAAAGTGTCGCCCTTTTAAATATCGTTGCTGGTAATTATTTTTGAATCTACGAGGGGCTTGAAAGTTTCGTTTCCTGGAGAATGATGCACTTGTAGAAGCAGTATCGACCTGAAGTATTTTTGCACTTGTATCACGATTTTCACTGGTGAGTTTTACCTCGTGATCTAAAAGTCTTGTTTTAACAAAAGTTAGGGTCAAATTATCCTCAGTTAATGTTTCGATAGCTGTAATCACTCCATCGTAAGTTTTAGGAAGGGTCAGCAATAAATGAGATATCTTGTCAGTCTCATCTAATTTGGCACCTGCGGCCAATAAGTCGGTAATTAGTTCATCAAAAATAGTAAAATGATTTAGTAATAGTGTATCTGCTTGTAATTTCAATCCCAATAATTTCTTTCGCAATGCCAACTGCGTAGCCAGACTTTTACGTTCATAGATACGGTCTAAACTACAGAAAATGTCTTTTGCAGTATTGTCACTTTTTGCAAAACTAAGAAAAGAATCTGTCAAATACTCCACGATAATATTTTTGGCGGTACGCTCTGCTGTTATCCATTCGTCAGTCACTTCCTCTGGGATATCTTCATCAATCACCTTTATGACATTAAGTTCTGTTAACAAACCACGTAATCTAAACTTCCATATACTATATTTTTCCCCATTAAAAGGCTTAATGTTTCTTTTTAGTTTAAAATTTTCCATTGTCACTATCAAAGCTCTCACTTTTGTCTATCACTTCACAAACTTCACAAATAACAATAGTTTATTAACTCAAAAATTCCTTTTCGCGATAATTTAAAATTACACGTATCCTGTGCCCATAACCTGTTAGGTATATGGACAGTGAAATAAAAGATATTATAATTTAACTTTTAAATATTTAATTGTCTTTAGTCTAAGACAACTCGGAAAGCAAGCGTAGAGGAGACTAAAACTAAAAGTGATACAAAATATTATTAGAGCACACACGCCCTATTTCATTCTTACATAAACATATGCAAGCACGTAACATTAACTGTGCTGATATTATAAACAGTAAATCTACGAGGTAAAGATAAAGAAGTTTTATTTAATAATATTTGGTTTAACTAATATATGTTTATATCAGCTTATTCAACACATTTAATTCAAAATGATTGTGTAGGAATCTTATTTTTGAAACAAGAGTTTTTTTCTACTTCCACCTTTAAAACGCCCTTTATCGTACATGTTTCCATGACACTAAGTGACCTTTTAAATACACATTGACAATACACATTGTGCCTTTCTTGTAAAATAATACTAAATGTGAAAATTATTTTATTATCTCAATACAAAAATACAAAAATATTAAATAGTTTCTCAACGCCTATATTTGAAAAGTTTAGATGAACATTGTACTGACCTTTTAATTTCGCCGGCAGTAAACTATAACTTAAATTCGGGCACGGACTCCACTGTAAAGTGCTCATAAAACATTTTCTTTATTTTCAATGTGAAAAACTTTTAATTTTCAAGAAATACATTTCGATTTTTAACCTTTATAATTGCGTTTATAAAATATAAAAATTTGACATTTGACGGTGACACACAGATTCCCCTATTGTTTCATAGATGGCGCTCTATACAAATTTTTTATTTAAATCATTTTAAGATAATAATAAGTATTTGTCGTAGAAAAAGTATAGTATGTACCTCGTTTATAAACTTTTCTATACACTCATTAATTTAAGCACTCGCTCGCAAGCTCGCTCGTGCCTAAATTAAATTTGTGTATAAAATGGCGTTTATCAAACTTAATACATAATATACTATTAAAAAACATGTTTTTTTCGTATCATACCTAATAAAAAAGTTTTTTCTATTGTCATTACCATCCGTGGGCACACTGTATAATATACAAAGTATATTAAAAAAATAATTTTATCTAATAGGAGTAAAGAAAATTGTATTACCATTCTTAAATGCAATAATTATTGTCAAATTTAAAAAATATATTACTTTTATGACCAGGTTAGCGGTAATTTGTCGGCCATTTTTCATTTTTGCAGAACTCTCTTTATAAAAATTCATCTGCCTTTATGCGCCTATAAGTTGGAGCTGGAGGTTCATATTTTCGAATGCACTAAGTATGTGGTTCTGGGCAAGTTATTATAAATTTTTACTTATATTCCATTTAATATTTGTAATTACAAAACTTGAGAAAACGCTATATTTTTGACAAAAAATCCAAAACTGACATTTCAAAGTTATATTTGTACTCAACTTTATCCCTACCATAACTTTTTGACACTAATTTTTACTATGATATTTACGCAACACTTTTTTACACGAAAAAGACAATATTCCGAAAGTAAGAGTATTTTTGACAATCTTTTCATATATTTGTTATAACGCAATGCATACGCAGTAAATTCTACTTCGCAGATTAAAATCTTAGGTAATAATCTTTCACGAACAATAAAGAGGCATCAAAATGCGTTTTTAAAGTGTTTTAAAAATTGTATTTTTGCCGCGTAAATTTGCCTCTCAGACCACTAAACATGTGATATAGATACTTTATGGACGACTTTAAACTAAAATAAATAAAGAAAAAAGTTATGTATACTAAAATAACTCCTGCTGTCGCGTGGTATGGCATTAGTTTGCCATGTTTGGGACACAAGTCAAATGAAATAAAAGAAAAATCTTTATTTTCGAGTTTATGTTAAGTAAATTATATTAAATTAATTATAAAATGTTTATTTGATATGAATTTATTCAAAAAGTCTGACTTTTTTACTTTCTTTATAAGCCATGACTAATAATAATAATATAATTTATTTTTAAAAATTTGCACATAAAATTACAAGAAAGTCTACCATTATATACATACATACAAAATATTAAATGTAAAAATAAATTCTAAAAGTGTGGCTCTAGATTACAAAAATCGTTAAAAAAGTTTTCTTTAGTAAATTCAAATTCTTAATTTTCTCAATATTAGCAGGTAAACTACTACATATTTTTATGCATGCATAAAAACAGCTTTTTTATAATATATTATGTTGACAACACATGATAAGGGTAATAAAAATACTTGTGTCTTGTGCTTAAAGATTTAAAATCTTGAAATAAAATTGATTTCTAACCCTGATTAGAAAAAATTAAAAACTAAACATTGAAAAACCATTGGCATTGTGACAATACCACTGTCTGAATTTAATTTAAATATGTCTTACCTTTTTTTTAAGGGATTTGTGAAAGTCAAATATTTGCCAAAGTGGATTATGAAACAAGGGCGAGGGGGGCTGAATTTTTGGCATACCCCCCTGTAGTTGCAGGGGGTGATAGAGCAACTATTATACACTACATTAACAATAATCAAATAGTAAAAAACAACGAGTTAGTCTTAATGGATGCGGGTAATAAAGGTTTAACTTTACAAAAACATAATCTAAAGATAAATTACTTTAGGTTGTGAATACCATGGATATGCTAGTGACATTACAAGGACATGGCCAATAAACGGCAAATTTACTAAAGAGCAAAGAGAAGTCTATGAGGTAGTTCTAGATGCTCAAAAAGAATTAATAGATTTTTGTGGTACATTTCCAACTCTTGATGCTCTATTTGAAAAAATGTGTCTTCTTTTGGGTAAAAACCTACAAAAGTCAAAATTAATAGGTATTCAACCCTCTGATCAATATTTAATGAAGGTAACTATATAATGGTTAAAAAACTACATTTTTAGGATAAAACATTGTTTAAACGCGTTGTGACGTCACTCGGGATCGAAGTTGTTTTAATAGAGATGTTTTATGACTAAAGTAACACTTGTGTAACTATTTAATAAAACAGATGTGGGTTTTGTGGCTCATTTATTCTAAATATAAACAAAAATGGGCTTTATATAACTCATATAATCATTTCTTTCAGTCAAACCATATAGTATTTAAATGTACATTAAATCTAAATCATTTCTGAGGTAGTGGGTGCCAACAAAGCAATGATAAGGAATCCTGCACAGCAACCCTGAGTTCAGATTTTTCTCAGTTTATCCCACGCCGTGATTTCTCATGCATTTTGCTCTTTGTTTATTATTACCTATGCTCATGGCGTGAGAAATCATTTCGTGGGTTAATTTGAATTTAGGTGGCGTGAGCATGCGCACAGAGCACTATGTGCGCTTTCAAAAATTTTGAATCAAAATAAAGGTCCATGATTAGACAAAGAAAGAGAGTGGACGCGTAATCAGAACGTAAAAGCTGGATTTAAGGTAATGGTAGAGGCAGCGGTAGAGGTAGCGGTAGCGGCAGCTGAGTTCGGCATTGAATATTATATGAAACAATTTATAGTTGTCAGAGGTAGCAGTAAGGGAAGTAGAGGCAAGAACGGAGCGGCAAGAGATGACCATCTTTCATCTTTTCTTACCTCAACCGCTACTCCAGCCAATTCAGTTGGCAGTCTCGCCTTGTAAGTTTTTGTGTTTATGCGAGGGGCAACCATTTGTGTATTTAAAGAACTGCTCTTCATCAGTCAGTTTCATTTTTTTTAAATACTGGAAATGGCTTTTCTTGGCTCGTTCCCGATTTAATTCCCTCGTTTTATAGCGACGTACTTGACGACCCCCATAACGTACTTGAAACCCTGCAATACAACATAATATGTTGTATTGCAGGGTTTATTATGTAATATTCCGCACAACGCCATATTGCCCAAAAGCACAGCATTGTCCTCCCAATCCATGTTTTCGTAGAAAAACTTTCGCTGTAAAATTTTACACATAAAATTACAATCTGCATTAAAGTACGCATGCGCCGCCAGTACCGCTACTTTCCTAACTATAAATTGCAGAAAGTGATACCGCTACCGCTACCTCTACCGCTACCTTTAAAACTATAAATCCAGCTTTATAGTTCAAAAGGTAGCGGTGGCGGTACTGACGGCGCATGCGTAAAGTACGCAGATTGTAATTTTATTTGTAAAATTTGGGTTATTTTGGAGTTTTCTACGAAAACATGGATTGGAAGGACAATGCTGCGCTTCTGGGCCATATGGCGTTGTGGTTACTAAACTGTTTAGGTTTTATCAAGTCAAAATATAAATATATTTATATAAATGGTTTCATATAATAATCAATGCCGAATTCGGCTACCGCTACCGCTGCCTCTTCCGTAAAGCCCTAAACCAAGGTTTAGGCGTAAAGCTACATTCGTAATGAATTCGCTGGACTTTGGCACGCAAGTCGGTACGAAATTTACCATTCACAATAACCTCAGAGTCGAATTTAATGCATTCGCATTAGTAACTGTCATGTTCTTTGTGAGGTTAAAATTTGTAATATTTTGTTTTTGTTTAGTGCTATTTTTTTAAATGCAAAAATTGACAACACTTATATATACATCAAATAGTTCATTTAGTTATATATTTTTATTACAATGTGTTTCAAACTACAAATCACTGTAATGTCATCCATAGATAATAAATGTCATCATCATTTATTCTGATTTCAATAAATCACTTTGGTTTATTTAAAAAAAGCAAGAAAAAGGTATTTAATCACAATAAATAAATAAAGTTTTTATTGCATATTGAGTACAGTACAATACAAATACAAAATATACAAAAGGCCATCGACCAGGGTCCTTCAGCCTAACCCGGACAACATTCGTGATATTCATACGAACTGTGATTCGTGATATTCATACGAACTGATGTTATACGACATGATTGTCGTGATTTTCACAAATTTTATTCATACTGATAGCACACGGAAGTCACCGCGTGATAAATGAAAATCATAAACTAAAAAATTGACATTTTGTTTCAGGTAAATTTTGAGTTAGATGGGTAGTTAATACCTGTCTCCATCCTGTATTGAAAAAAATTATATAAAATACGTGTATTTTGTCTTGTACATCAGTTTAAACTTGACGCTTTCAGTTGAAGGTACTTTACACGCGATCGCTGCGGAAAATTGTTTATTGTTTAAAAGTGAATAACTTGTGTTTGGTGTGTCCGATTGTTATGCGGTTTGATGAAGGGTGATCTTCAAGGTATGTAAAATTGAAATATGTATTTGTTTTTCGTAGATTTTGCTTGTACAACGGGTTATCGTAACCGACAAGATCGGTCTGTTAAAATCGCAAACTTTGAATCGAGCTTTTAGAACAATGGAGCTACAAAAATTGTAATGAATTGTAAGGCATCAGTTCAAGAACCGTTGAATAGCTTAGAGTTTGGTCTATCAAGCCATTAATAAATTATCTGCCCCAACTTGCCCCCGGCTCTTTAAAACTACATGTTCTTGGGCGCTCAGGCACGGTTGTGGTAAAAAACCTCTCGATTTTAAGCCTATGTCGCGCGCGTATCTGTGTTTTTGCTTTACAAAATATAAGTTTTTTTTTTTATTTCTCGGTTGCGTTCATGACGTTTACTCGATTCACTCGACTCAACTCAAAACGTTTATTACAACAGTGGTGTCTAGACTTTCACTTGCGTAAATCGTTTGTGTCTACTAAGATATTTAACAATGATTTTACATATTTAACCCACCTCTTGTAGGTGCATTAAAAAAAACTCCGCATGCGCATTGTAGTGTGTTAATGTCTAATTTGAATTATGGTTATTTGTGTTGACAATTTTTTTAGCGAATCCAGTGACGGAGATTGTTTAATATATATGTAGGTATTAAATAATATCATATAAATGTAATTATAATAAACTAAATTAAGCTACTTTATAAAAAAATCCTTTATTTACATTTTAAAAAATGTCCGCCATTTGAGGTCCACCATTTTGAATTTTAAAATTCTGATTTCAGATTCGTTATCAGCGACCCCAAAAACCCCTGTATGGTGATTTTCAATTTATTCCGTCAATTTTTTGACAAATATGTCCGCCATTTTGGATCTACCATTTTGAATTTTGGAATTCTGATTCCAGATTCGTTATGAGCGACCCCAAAATCCTCTTAATACGGATTTTTAGGAGAATCCGACTACTCCTTGATATTTTGCCGAAAATTTCGAGAATTGAAACACTGTGCGTCGTGATTTTCACAAATTTTATTCATATGGACATTATCCGGATGTCACTGCGTAAGAAATGAAAATCATGTCGTGATTTTTTATGCCATTGCTGTTTGCGATTGACCGATGGCACAAAAAATCATGTCGTGCAGTAAGCACAAGCTAGCCGGCCCGCATGCGACCCGAATACGTTTTGCCGAATCGGCCGCGTGCGGCTCGACACACGTATTTCTTCCGGCGTGTAGAACGGGCATGTCCGCCTGGCCAATTGTCGGGCATATCCGCCTGGCCGAATGTCGGCTATGTATACTCGGCCGAGTGTCGGCTGTGTATAGTTGCCCGAGTGGCAGCCACAACCGCCTGGCCATTCAAAAAAAGCCTACAGACGTCCTGGAGAGGTATATTATATAAGTTCAGTCCTGAAATTATCTGAATGACAAGATACTTCTTTAACACACTCGAGTAGTTACTGAGCAGATGAGGATGGAGATGGGGACTTCAAACAATTAATGTTCAGCTATGCCATTACGGACGCACACTTGTGATTTTTTATGCCAACGGTGTTTGGATAATCATTTTTGCGCTACGTTCGTACACTAAGAGAAAAATTATGTTGAATCAACAGTTTTTGCGGTTAAATACATTCAATAACTATATATAGTTAATTTAAAACCAAGAAAATATTGAATGTTAAACTGTCCCAGTAAGCACCAAACACTAGGCAAACAGTCGGCCTTCACTCGGCATAGGCGGTTGACCGGCGGTTCGGCTTGTCTCCAGTCGTCCCGCTTATAGCATGCATTATGTTAGCCCGGTACCGTTTGGCCATGTTTTAACCAAAGTCGGCCAGAATACGGCATGCCGCTGCAAAATCGTTCGGATTGCCCTAGCCGGCCCGCTTACGGCCGGAATACGGTCTGCCGCGGCATAAGCAATACATCTCACGGCTGCTTACGCAAGCGAGCTAACTATAAATAGCGATGGGTTACAATATTTAGTTGGAAGTGTGCGTCTGTAAGGGCATAGCTGAACATAAATTGTTTAAAGTCCCCATCTCCATCCTCATTCTGCTCAGTAACGAATAATAGCTAGCTATAGTCGAGTGTGTTAAACCTATACGATATACCTATCCAGGACCTCTAAAGGCTTTTTTTGAATGGCCAGGCTGTAGTGGCCGGCACTCGGCCAACTATACACAGCCGACACTCGGCCGAGTAATCATAGCCGACAATCGGCCAGGCGGACATGCCCGGTCTACATGCCGGAACAAATACATGTGTCGGGCCGCACGCGACCGATTCCGCAAAACATATTCGGGCCGTATGCGGGCCGGCTATTTTGTGCTTACTGGGGTTAATTCAATTGTTAACATACTTTCAATGTACGAATGTGTCGCAAAAATGAATATCCAAACACCGATGGCATAAAAAATCATGTCGTGATTTTTTATGACCTAACACCGATAGCATAAAAATTCATGTCGTGATTTTTTAGGCCATCGGTCAATCGCAAACAGTGATGGCATAAAAAATCACGACATGATTTTCATTTCTCACGCAGTGACATCCGGATGATGTCCGTATGAATAAAATTTGTGAAAATTACTACGTGACGTTCGTATGATTTTCATTTATCACGCGGTGACTTCCGTATGATATCAGTATGAATAAACTTTGTGAAAATCACGACATGATGTTCGTATGAATATCAAGAATGTTGTCCGGGTTCAATTAAAAAAGATATATGTTTAACAAAACGTGCACGTTTTGTTAAAATTGGAATATCTTTTTTAATTGAACCCGGACAACATTCATGATATTCAAACAACGTTTTATAAATTATAACGGTGTAATGTGAAGAACAAACTAGGTTTTAAATTCGCAGTTTGCAGGGCTCATACGCATGCGCAAATTTTGCAAATATCACACCGTGAGTTCTACATGATATCACTGATGAAGCATCCCTGATAGCAAAATTTGATTCTAAGAATCTTCTAAGAAGATACGACTCGGAATAATGGAATATTCTTAGAACCTTCCCTTATTGCTAAGAATGTTCTTAGGGACTTTTAAAACATTCAATAGATACCCTTTTAATTATGCAAGTAGATTCTTAGAAGCTTCTTAAAACCTTCCTAAAAAGCATTCTAAAAACATTTTAAGAATACGTTTTTGGAATGTTCTCAGAAGGTTTCTTATGGAGCTTCTAGGAAGCTTTTGAGAATATTTCCAAATATTCTACATTCGTAAAATTCTTCAGGAGGCGACAAATACGCCTCACTGTCATAATATGAAATGTATTTGTCTTCCCCTTAAAAAAATTTGCGACATATTAATATATATTTATTTAAAAATATTAAATAAACAATTTGACCTCTGAACCATAAGTTGTATGACATTATTTCATAAAAAGTAAAATTGGAAAATTTTGTGGGATAAGTCAGATTAGATTGAAGTTGAAGATAGTAGGATTATTATACATAAAAATGTTAATTCAGAAATAAAAAATCGGTATACAAATTAATAAATATTTATTTTTAACATAAAATAAAATACCTATAGTAAAAGTATTTTTGTTATCTAATATTGTTTTAATTTGATAAATAACTATAAAAAATATTTTGGGTTGTTTTTTACTTAGTATTTAATACTAATTACTTTCTCAACATTCTAAGCATATGTTTAGAGTGGATTAATTTTTACCACTAAACTTTGCACCTTCTAAGAACCTGCCTAGAGGCCAGTAAGAATATTCTTAGGATTATGCTATATTTCTTTTAAGCATGTTCTTTATAAGAAATATAGGATGATCCTAAGAATATTCTCACTGGAAGGTTTAAAAAACATTCTTGGAATATGCCTAGAAGATATATAGCATGATCCTAAGAATATTCTCACTGGAAGGTTTAAAAAACATTCTTAGAACATGACTAGAAGTAATATAGCATGATCCTAAGAATATTCTCACTGGAAGGTTTAAAAAACATTCTTAGAATAAACTGTGCTATCAGGGATGTGTATGCACTCAGGATATCACAGCGTGATAAAAAAAATCACGTTGTGGTATCATCATGACTTCACCAGGAAATCCCGATTGTTGTCCGGGATACAACATTTCTTTTATGTTTTTATTCAGTGTTCTTATTTTAAAATACATTTTGTATCTAAAAAATACTTTTTTGCTTTATCAGATAAATCTACATCTTTAGATAAATTATTTAAATTTTGAAGATAGTTTTTCCGATTATTAATGCATTTTCGTTATATTTATTAAATTAGTAAACCATTGTTTATAATATTAAAAGATACCAAAAAATACACCAAAAATATACAAATAACTTATTTAACACATATAAAAAACAATGTTTACAAAGAAACTAAACCAAAACTCTCATTAGGCACGTGCAGTGACAACGTACTTTTGTCATTCGATAAAGAAGCCCGTGGACATACCTTGTTGTACCATGATAATGGGTCCATGTGATTTTAAACTCAATTATACCTGTGCGCACAGATTCGGTTGACACATTCTGCGCTCATTTGATCACCTATTAAGGCCGATTCTCACATAGCGACGCGACGCTACGCGACGCGATGCTTCAAAATCGCGCCCTATTGTCGCTCCAGGAAGCGACAAAATTTTGTCGAGTCGCGTTGCTGGCGCGTCGCGTCGCTATGTGGGAATTGTCCCATTTAAACGCATGGAAATTTTTCATCAGCTACATTTTAAAGTGTCGCGTCGCGTAGCGTAGCGTAGCGTCGCTATGTGAGAATCGGCCTTTATGCGGCAGCACTTGAAGTCTTGAATGCGTTATGTGAGGTAAAATTCATAAAAAATTACATATTCAAATGATATGAGCCACGGCGTTCACGATACCAGGCGAGAGTGTAGCCCCCACTTCTGCATCAAAACTGCGACGTCAGGAGGCCGATCGGATCAGCGTACGCCTATTGTATTACATTGCTTTGCAACCAAAGTTATGGATTTTTATTGCTTTTAAGGAGTATTTTTTGCTAAAGCGGTGGACAATGCGTGAGTACATATTCTATCAAAATCAACAGAACAATATGTACTAAGTAATTTATTGAAACCAAACAGAGAATTGCCATTAAAATAGTAATTTATTAAAAACAAAGAGAACTGCACACAAACAATAATTATGTAATTTTAAAATAACGATTGTTTTGAATTTGTATATTTGAAATAAGTTTAGTCTAATTTTTATAATATGAAATATTAAATAATAATGTTGTTAAGTTTAATTTTATACAAAAAATTTGTTTAATTTATCTATTACTATTAAGAATAATTACTTCAATTTTCTTGTATTTAAATTTAGAAATTATACTCTTTTAAATTAAGGTTTACTTAAAATAAATTAATATATTCATTTAAAACAGAAGTTTTCAAAAAACATTATATTTTTTAAATTTGATGCAAAATCCCGCTTTAATTTGCTATTAATATTAACAGTACCTACTTTTAATGTAACTTACAATTGAATATTATTAAATAGTAATTTGGCGCGTATTTTAGGTACGCCGTTTTACTTTTTAATAAATTAATATGCTAGTTACATTAAATAGTAAAACGGCGCGCCATAATAAATTTTATTTAAAAATAAAGGCAAGTAAACTTATATTTGATTTGAATTAAGCTTGGAATTAAAAGTATAATATTTTTGCGTATAAGTAATATAACCACAGACCATATAACCATATAATCATAAAAATGTTGGTTATTTAATGTAAATGAATATTTTTTTGTGTATGCTCTTAAAATAGTAATTTATTTATAACAAACATAGAACTGCTATTAAAATAGTAATTTATTTAAAACATATATAAATGTTATTAAAATAAAAAATACAACCGTAAGCTACATCGGGGCGCATTAACATCTTGTTTTCTTGCAGTTATTTTGATATATTTTTATTTTTTTGACTTGTATACCGTGTGTGTTAATAAAAGGGGGGTGTATTTTGTATGTCGGTATATTAATTTTAAAATGAGTAGGCTACACACCCCCCTTTTATTTTATTTACTAGTTATTTTTGCGCATTTTTGTGTGTCGGATAACAGCTTATTATATATGCAAGTATCTTAAAACTGTTTTTATAAAAAATATTGTAGGTAATTTATTATACCTATAGTATTTTGGCATCAAATCAAATTGTTTTTTTTTAATATATAAATTCTTCTTTTATTAGAAATAAAAGAAACATAAGCAATATAGCAATAAGTAGACATAATTTTAATAATTGACTGTTGGAGACGGGACAAGGGATTTTTTTCTGCTGAATAAAAAAAGGGGGTAGTAAGTGTTTTTTGCCCAGAGAGGCAAAAAACTTCGGGCCGGCTCTGACTATCGATAATTCATATAAAACTGTCTTGCATTACCGCAATAATATATTTATTTTCCTGTTGCCTCTTAGGAACGCAACATTTTGTTGGTATTTTTTATTTATTTATAGTGTTATAAAAGCAGCAAACTAATGCAATATTTAAATAAACGTTAAATCGAGCGATATCGATAGTAAAGCAATAGATAATTTATATTAAACTGTCTTGTATTACCGCGATTATAACATTATTACATTAATTTGCTATTGCAGTCGGCCTCCTGACGTCACGCCTCCCACTACCACACTCCCGCCTGGTATAGAGAACGCCGTATATGAGCTTATATGAACTCGAGAGTGCTGTGCGGGATTTTTTTTCTTGAATCATTATTTCTAAAAATGGGTAGGTATACCCGTTTTTTTTAATTTAAAGCCAAAATAGATCTTAAACTCTTACATTTTTTTTACAATAATACTATTTCATATATTTTTAGCAATATTGATTTATAGTGATTTTATTGTTTATTTCAAATTTATTTATTAGTTTTGTAAAAAAACGCGTTCACAGCATTTTTTTTAAATTTTGAAACCTTTGAACGTAATATTAACGAAGATAACTTTAAAATTCCAAATAGTGGCCACCCATTCTTAAACTTGGTGGAGTGTTCCGTTGACACCCGTTTGACTATATCTTTTTTTAGCATTTGACCAAAATAAAAATATATTCTTTAAATATGTAGTATATTTCTTAAGCTAGATTTTTTTTCTTTGCTTATTGATTTAGACCATTTGTTTTTATTTCAGGCAGCTTACCAACTATGTCCACACCATGTGTCCCACTATTTAGGAATGGATGTACATGATACTCCATTAATAAGTAGGAATATTAATATACAGCCTGGAATGGTTATTACTGTTGAACCAGGTAATTAATCTATTTAATTTTTTGTTATTTCTTTTGTTCTTATTTTAATTGTGCCTAGGAATTTATATTACTCACAGCAACAAAACAATTGCCAAGGAGTACCATGGTATTGGAATTAGAATAGAAGATGATGTTTTGATTACAGAAAATGGTCCAGTGGTGCTGAGCAGAAGATGTCCTAAACATATTGAGGAAATTGAAAGCCTTAAAAGGTAAACGTAACCTAGGTCAAGTAATTAATTGTACATATTTGTTATTTATACTATACTATATTGTTTTAATAAAATTTTGGATTTATTTAGTCGTTTATATTTTAATGTTTTTAGTGTTTTAAGTTTTATGTTTATATTCTATATCTTTCAAGATACCCAGCATAAAAGTAAAACACAGTTTAAACAAAAAATATCAATTTTATTGATTTAACAATAACAATACTTAAAAAATATTTTACAAAACACGAGATTAAATTTAGTGGCTATTCCTCAATTGTTTGTCTGCATTAGCCAATACAACATAGTTGTTCAACTGTTTAACTCTAAGCCTGCTCCAAACAATGTAATTGGACAAGCCAATTATTTGCGCAGCATTGAGCGCAGCAGCTTCAGGGTAGACCACAGTGCTGCATCCCAAACCTGATGGAACATTTAAACTGGACCAGATGTCTTTGTTGACATTGTCGTTTGTGACAGGTGGACAGTTGATGACAGGCAGAGGTGAGTTGCCAGAAATAACAGGACCCAAACCATTTGACCTTCCGGCAACAGCGATGAAGACTACCTTAGCTGGAAGAGATTCGTAGTATCTTACGATTTTAAGGGTTTCTTCTGTGCCTTTATGCGCAGAAGTAACTCTCAATTCAGTGTTTAAACCAAGGGCTTCACAGTGTTTTTGAATGGTTTTGCAGTGTTCCTTATCAGAAGGGCTGCCCATTAAAATGACAACCAAATTGTCATTTGGGGGTATTAAATGGTCAAGTTGATCTACAACCCATTCAAAGTTACGTTTGACAGTGTCCAAGTCCTTGCTAGTTACGCTGGTGAGATTGCGATAGACTTGTTTGTCGACCATAAGTCTTTTGTCGCCTGCAGGCCATAATCTCCAACTGTCAGAGTCGATCACATCAGCAACAAGGATTTCACCTAAAAAGAAATACCTATTACTTCCTCCACTACCAAACACATATATTGCATTATTTTTAGATTTCAAGTTTTAACTTTAAGATATAATATAATATAAATATATATATATATATATATATATATATATATATATATATATATATATATATATATATATATATATATATATATAATATAATAGAAATCTTAGAACGTCTGAATTTCTCTTGGTACCGGTTTTAGAACGGTTTATGCTGGTCACTCTCCTTTGATTCGGGTTTGCAATCCGTAAATAGATTTAGTTCTATTGATTTTTATGCAAAAATGTACCTGCTTTTAAAAAACAACTGTGATATATATATTATATATTTATATTTTTTTTTACATATTTATATTTACTGTTTTATAACATATTATATAGTTGAGTATTTATGTTTGGTATCATATTACTTATTCTTCATTGTTTTTATTTTGTAACTGCTATTATGAGTAATAAAAAATTATTATTATTATTAAAAATAAGAAACAATTTGCGTGACAACTCACAAATACATAACTTCAATTATTTGACTGCATTTCTTATTCAAATGTCAATGTTTGATGCTCCACACCCAAAAGTCCCACTTTAATATTTGAATATAAATTATTCAGGTTATCTATTCTAAAAAAAGTTTATTTACACTGTAAACACACTTAACATCAATAAATATTTTAGTTTAACGCCAATTTAGTCTTATTATCTGGAAATAATTATTTATAATATGTATTTTTTGTGTTCTAAATTCAGACCACCAAAAATAAATACATATATTGTATTATTTTACGAAAATAAGAAGAAATTAGCGTTAAAGTGACAGATAGATAACCTTAATTATTCTTATTCAAAAGTGGGACTTTTGGGTGTGCATAATACATCTAATTAATTCTATAAAATTATTAACTATGAAGAAAATTGTCTCTAAAAATGTTTAAAGGGTATTTTGCATTTACATATTTTAATGCACAGTTATTTTATTAATTTTAAATAATTTTAAAGGTTTTACCACCATTAAAGTTCTCATTGGAGCATAAGTCTCCTTGACTCATGATACAAGACCTTTTATCATATCCTTGACTTATATAGGCTGGAGAAATAACGCATACCACACGATGGAACTTTTTAGTGAAAAAAATATCATTTTTAACTTTTTATAAATACAAAAGAATAGAACGTGACGTCACCACAAAAAATTCAACCTCCTGCGCGTTCGGTGTTAAACATGGCCGGTCTCAACGGTATACGCTTTGCAGAAGTTTTGTCTCACAAGGTGTCAAATATAAAAAGTTTTTTACTAAACCTCTAAGAAGTGGTTTAGTTCCTGCTGCTATAAAAATCGCAAAAGTAACTCCTCTCTTTAAACAGGGGGATAAAAGTAATGTTAATAACTATCGACCGATATCGGTTTTACCTTTGTTTTCAAAAATTCTAGAGCGCATTGTTAATGAGCAATTAATTAAATATCTTAGCAGCATCAACTTTTTATCCAGGTTCCAATACGGCTTCCGCAAGTCCAGCGACACAAGTCAGGCGGCCATCGATTTGATTACGGACATTCAATTAAACATAGATAAAAAACTAAAATGTGCACTTGTTTCGCTGGACTTGTGCAAGGCGTTCGACACCGTGAATCACAATATATTACTTGAAAAGTTGGAGCTGCTGGGAATAGATACAGGATGGTTTGGGGACTACTTGGGGAACAGGCGTCAGTCGGTGGCAGTTGGTGTCGCCGTGAGTGAACAGATTGGTCTAGATTATGGAGTGCCTCAGGGATCAATTCTGGGTCCCACACTCTTTTTAACATACATTAATTCCCTGACCAGTTTACCGCTCATAGGTAGCATTAGACTGTTCGCTGATGACGCGCCCCTTGTGTACTTCTCAGAATCCTATGATCTCTTAAAGATAGACATTGTGCAAGATTTAAAACTAATATCAAGCTGGCTTAAGTCTCATAAACTTACTTTAAATATACAAAAATCATCTTATATGTTTATAGGTAAAAGAAAACACTTGAATAATCAACCGCTAGGTATTGCAGGTGGTGTCCTCAATTACAGTTCTTGTGTAAAGTTTCTGGGTTTGGAAATTGATGAAACCCTATCATTTTTTAATCATGTTCAAAAAGTTCGACAAAAAATTGCTGGACCCATTGGAATTCTGCACAAACTTAACTACTGCATCCCAAACAAATATTTAAGATCTGTATATTTCTCACTAATTCACTCCCATCTTCAATACCTCACGGCAGTATGGTTTCCCACTTCTAATAATGTAATAACACCCCTTAAAACCCTTCAAAACAAGGCCATAAAAAACCTGTACTCATTGCCCACAAGATACAGTACCTCAGATTTGTATAAAAATTTTAATATAATGCCAGTCGAAAATATTTATTACTTTCAGGCAACCGCCTTTATTTTTAATAATCTTAACAAAAAAAAACATTCCAATCTAACTCTTACAATACGAAATAACATACACGCTCATGATACTCGTAACAACAATTTATTAGATTTGTATCCTTTTACCTCCAATTTTGGAAAATCGTCTATCTTGTATAAAGGAGCCGATAAATATAACGAACTTGTAAAAAAGTATGATTTATTGAATATAAATGTAATAAAAAATCACTTTAGGCCAAGCTAATTTATGTATTGTGTATATGTACAGAATAGTACTTGTGTTTTAATAATTAATAGGTGACTATATTTTTATTGTATTTATATGTATATTTAATTTATATTGTATTTATATGTATATTTAATTAGAGTTCCCTCTGTAAACCGCATTGTGTTTTTTGGGTTAATAAATGTATTTATTATTATTATTATTATTTTAATTTTGATTTAAAGTTTTAATTTTTGGACACAAACTGTTCTAAATACTTTGTCAACCAGGCAGTGGCGGACTAAACTCGTCGGGGGCCCGGGGCGGTAAAATAAAATGGGGCCCCTAGTCTGCTTATGAAATAATGTGATTGTTTTGTAAATATTAATGTTTTGTTATTTTAAATTTGTTAGTAGATCCTCTTAGCAAGTCCTTTGCAACACTCTTAAGGGATATGAAAATTGATTACAAGCTTTTTTCAGCGAACTTATAAGTTTACTTATATTTAAACTTGTAAATAATTTAAATTTTAAAAATCAAGAGGCCCACTCATGGCTGTCAAGATGTAATTAAAACCTTTTTTTCTAATTTCTGATGGATTGCAGCGACGGAAATTCATTTTTTTCTCGATATCAGTGTACGGATAGTACCTATATCTGTAAAAATTTGTAAATTTTTAGAAAAATTGACTTTTGCATTTTTTGTGTTACTCTTTGAATAAAATGAGAAAAATGCAAGTCAATTTTTCTGAACATTTCACAATTTTTCACGGTTTTTTTCTGCCGGCTCAATTTTTCCGGAAATTTTAAAATACTAAATTTTAGATAGTTTTTTGTTGTACTGAGAAGACTACTTAAGATTTGGGGGCCCTCCTGGACCGGGGATCCAGGCGGACCGCCCCCCCCTTAGTCCGCCACTGCAACCAAGCCACCTCAGCTGCCTTATTTGAACTTCTTCCACAACAATTATTTTTAAATTAGTAATATTTCAGCATTTTAATCACACTGCTTGACAAGTAAAAAACGTATGAGAAATAAAATTTGTTCTTTTATATTTAATAATAACTCTTTTATCTGCTTTTAATATTAATAATATTATTTTATTACATGCAAAAGTAACGCAATTATTTATAAATTTATATTTTATTAATAACATAATGTTATCTTAATAATAAATAAAATTTCATAAATTATTTAAAATAGGTGTTTAACCGATAACCTCTGTTATCCAAAATAACAACAAAATCCCAAATTTATGAAATGTCATGGTTAAAATAACTTACCATTGCTATCCACTCCAAATTCGATTTTCATGTCAATTAAGGCACAGTTCCTAGTGGCCCACACTTTTTCCAATACTTCAAAAACAAGGATTGAGGTTCTTGTCATAATGTCTACTTCTGTAGTTCCTAAAATTTAAAATAAATTAATATTCAGTTAAAAACCCTTTTATAAATTTATAAAGTGGAGTTTATTAATAAAACTATTTATAATAATTATATACTAATTCTACAGGATGTCCCGAAAATAGTGTGCCCGAGGTTTCTAAAGGGTATTTCCGTTGTAACAGGAGCGACACTGACACTGCGTTTTTCATGATAATAAACTGTTTGTTCATATCAAGATACGTTAATATACAAAAATAGTATAAAAAAATTAGATATTTAACTCAAACAAAATGTCAATAAAACCTTTTATAACGTCATGAATTTAGTAACGGGCGCGACCTTATTTAGGAATTTAGGAGGTTTTTTAGAGAATTTTAGGAGAAATAAAGTATTCAAATGAATTTATGTAATTTAATAAAAACAACTCTAAACTATACTTAAAAAATAAATAATTATTAAAAAAAAAGTATAAATAAACATCACTTCTTTTGTACAAATAGGTTACATTGACTAGTTTTTTTAGCCAAATCGCTCGACGAGTTTTTTTTTTAAATAAAATTATAAGTGGGGTAAAATTACTAATTTTGTATATACGAGTATCTGAGGTATATACACAAGTAGAAATTTCTGATGTGACTAAAAAACTAGGCCAAAGTCAAATAATGTTATATTTATATTTTGAGAAAAAAATATTAACCGTTTAGTTAATAACTAACAATAATTGTAATGTAGATCTTGTTACTCAAAAATCTCATAATAGGAAATATATAAAGTTTGCTTAATACAAGAAAACATTCCTTAGATTGTTTACTATTTTAGTTATCATTTAAAAGAAAATTAAAAATCCTTTTGTTTGATATATAACCCGGTATATTTTTGTCGAAAACAAACAGAAATATGGTTAAACATGACAATTTTGTAGAAGTCTGAGACTACTACATGGATTTTGTATTTAGGTATATTTTGTTGTTTTTTAAGAAAAGTATGTTGTGATAAATCATTTTAAAAATAATTTAATAAACTAGAACCTAAAATAGTATACAGTGCTTGCAAATCCAAGTCCGACCACACTGGAAAGGACGGCTGTTCAATACCCGCGTGAAAAGAACAAGGATAGAACGCCAAATAGAATTTGATTGGCCAGCCGGCAGGCTACGACAACGCATACCCATCGCGCACCTCGCAGCGTGCTTGACACGAGGAATCCTCGTCGAGGATATCAGAACGAGAACTGCAGTGGTGCCAGCAAGAGCCTCTTGCCAAGAGGTAGTAATTTTAGTAAAAAAGATTATTTAATTAAAAAATGTAGGTACACGTTGGAACAAAAAGTTCAGATTTTAATCTGGCATTTTGCTGGTAATTCTGAACGAGAAATTCAAAGATTATTTGCGGGAATGTTCGAGGCCAGACCAAACAGAGAAACAATTCGACGAACCGTTAATAATTGCTTGTTCGAACATTTAATTTAATTTTTCAGTTTATTTATTTTTAGAGTTTTATTAGACCAGGGTCGACAATTTTTGAAACCAAAAAAAATAAAAGTAGGATGAAACCCATTGGAAAAGGAGAAGAATATAATAAAAATAAAAGGAAAAATAAATTACGGGCGATCTGACTTTGGGAAGTGGGAGGGGGGGTTTTAAGGGTAAAAAATGGTTTATCTCGATTTCCGGTAAAACTACAAGTCCTATGGAAAAAAGTTAAATGGCAAAGTTGTAGGTAATAAAAGGATCTACAACTTTTGTAATTACAATTTTTTTACATAACCTCCAAATTTATGGGAAAAATTCAAAAAACCAAGTTTTTGGTTTTTTATTTTTATCTTTTTCAAAAAAAAATTTTTTTCCACGAAATGGTGAAAACTTACCTTTTTATGTCCCAAATACACTGTAATTTATTTGATTTGAAATATTTATTATTTCGCCTTATTTTGACTTAAAATCAAAAAAGCACCCTAATTTTCAATCGAAAATTCTCGCGTCAAAATATCAGCTTTTTTCAAAAAGTCGGTGTGCTTTTTGTTTGTTGAAATATCTACTTTCTGATGGTGTAAATATACATTACTATGGTAAATGTTCTCAGAAAATGCAAAAAATATTATAATGAATAACGAAAAAAACTCGAATTCGAAAATTTATTTTAATCATTATGTACAATTTCATTAAAAAAATGTGATTGTTGCAATTTTTTTAGTTAAAAAGTTTATTTATTAAATTCTAACAACATTTATGTCAGAAAATCTCATAAAATATAAAAATACATGTAAATCATACTATTGAATTTAGATACTTCATTCTGATTACGATTGATTGAAAATTAGGGTGCTTTTTTGATATTAAGTCAAAATAAGGCGAAATAATAAATATTTCAAATCAAATAAATTACAGTGTATTTGGGACATATTTTTATTTTTAGTTATTTTTATTTGAGAAATCTTTTTTATTAAGAATACTATTTTTGTTGTTGCCCTAGTTCTCAAGGAAAAAAATCAAAACATTTTATTTTTAGGATTCGGGTATAAAATATTTAAAAAGAAAATTAAAATGTGCATCTCCACTGCAACGCAGTTTGCTTAACACTAAATCATTTAGTCTAAATGCAGTAGAGGTGGGTTGCTATCGCGTAAGCTGCTATTTTTTAACAGTTATTTTGCTGAAGCAGCTATCACTGTTACCCGGTTTTAAAAAAAGCTGCTACCAACAACATAACCTAACTCCGCCGTTTGTGATCGCATTTAACGTATTGTCTGCGCACAGTGATCGATATCGCTGTTTCGAATTCCGCTATATCAAAAAGCTGCTAACTCGGCCTTGGACAGCGCCACTGCTGTGTGATGTCGGGATTTTAGTAAAATCATTTTACTAACGGAGGTAAAGTTACAGCATTGGAGACTAATTAATAATATTTTATACACTTTAAATAAAAATGAGTTTTAATTTGCAGCCGAGTAAAAAAAATTTTAATTTTTAAACTCGAATTTTTAATACTAAAATTTATTCATATCTAAGCTATTTTTAATTTTTTAAACCTAATCCTAGCATAGAAAATCATTATTAACAACATTATAATTTCCAATCATTGCAAAAGATCGCGATTATTTGCTAGTAAAGATCTCTGTGAACTCTCCCTAGACGTTTGTAAGCCAAGCAGAAGCGATTCGCTACTATAGCGCTATAGCAAACCCAAATAGCCGTTTTAAAATGAAACATGCGCAAGAAACACGCGTGCCGCTGTCAGCGGCTGTGGTCCATTCCCACGAGCACCGTTTCGGATAAACTGCTTCTTTTAAGCAGCTATTTGATAGCTGCTACTTAAAAAAAGCGGTAACTGTTTTAACTGCTACTTAGAAATAGCGGTTTAGCCCACCACTAAAATGCAGCCAGAGACTCTGGCCCAGAGTTGACCTCGCTTACAATTCGCACGCATCCGGGGCTCTGGCCAATCAAATTCTATTTGGCGTTCTATCCTTGTTCTTTTCACGCGGGTATTGAACAGCCGTCCTTTCCAGTGCGGTCGGACTTGCATTTGCAAGCACTGTATTACACTACAAGGGCAGAAAGTGTGAGATTCCTGCACTGCGCGCCATGATGCCCTCGGCTTCGCCTCGGGCATCATGGCGCGCAGTTTAGGGCTCTCACACTTTCTGCCCGTGTAGTGTATACTATTTTTCTTGCTACCCGGCCGAAAATACGGGAAAAAATTAAATGTGTATATCGAAACATATTGATGCCTGCCCCGACATTTGCGGCACGAGCGAAGCCTTCGTAGCCCTTGTAGTGTAATATACTCGAAAATACGTTGTTTCGTCCCCGATTCCAATGCATCAAACGTAAATTTGACCAATGCATCAAACGTAAACTTTCTGCCGTGGAATCGGGGACGAAACAACGTATTTTCGGCCGAGGTAGTAAGAAAATATATATACCTATTTTAAATTACTTCTTAAAAAAGAAATTATTGGCACAACTACCTTAATTAAACGCATTCAAGTTGGCCTATTTATATTTATATATTTTTAGGAGTTTTAGGAGATTGATGGTAATTTTAGGAGAATTTTAGGGGTTTTTAAGATTTAAGCCAAATTTTAGGAATTTTATGAATTTTAGGAGGTGTGGGAGCCCTGGAATAGTAACCTTAAACAAGCACGTATTTTAAATGCACAAATATTTTATACTTTATTTTCTAAAATTTTCTCAAAATGTAACAGAGGACATTTGAACATTTTATAGTGTTTATTCTTAATATTAGCTTTTTAGCATCACAATGTACGAATATTTTAAGGTTATAAATTACGTCGCAATTAAACAATTTGACTTCAGATATAGTTTTTATTTTATTAAATAACACATCTGATTTGGAGTAAGGTTTCGCGGAAATACCCTAAAGGCAAAAATGGGAAAAAATCTTCTTATAAACAGGGAGCTACAGCTTTGAACAAAAATAAATTACTAAATTTAACAAAAATTCCTTTTTTCTTTTTTAATTTAATACATTTAACAAGAAATATTAATTAAAAATACATATTAATACATATTATGTTTCCCGAAAATACATTATTTTATCTTAAACCGTTTTGGAAATAATAAAAAAATTTGGACCTAAAAACCGCTTGTAGAGTATTGCACACTATTTTAGGGACACTCTGTATATTGATATTTTTTTCCACTCCTATTGCATATTATTAACATTATTTGTTTTTTCCGTGTATAAGCGTAACCATTACAACCAATTAGACTATCAACGGAAATAATGAACTCATTATTCACGTTGTTAGGCATCAGTGATTGGCCGATTTTTTAATTTTACTGTGATTTGAACCAATCGGGTTATAAATTGGAAAAAAGTGAGGTTGGAACTTTCTAGCAGATGTCAAGTTTTTTTATATACATACGAGGGGCGACTATATTGATCTTTAAAATCGGGAGAAAGTGAGGTTATAATAAATTTTGTTATTATTGAAAATAATTTTTGTCAAAAATTGAGATACGATGTTCTTATTTGCAAACCCAAAATGACTTAATAAACAAAATAATATTTAGTATATTATTATACAAAATTTAGGTAATGAGAGATAAATCTCTGGTATAATAATATGATCACTTAAGTTTTATTTTCTAAGTAATTTCGGTTTATACGAGGTGTGTTCAGAAAATATCGGAAATTTTCGTTTTTTGAAACAAATATTTATTTATTCGTCTACATTCATGTTGTCGCCTTTAAAATAGTCCCCATTGGATATTATGCACATGTGCCAGCTCTTCTTCCAATACTCTAAGCACTTCTAAAACTCGATCTTTGGGATAGCCTTTAGTTCTTTCAGCGATGCGCTTTTAATGTCATCTATGCTTGCAAAACGACGGCCCTTTAAGGTTCTCTTTATTTTTGGGAATAGGAAAAAGTCAGACAGAAGCATGTCTGGCGAATATGGAGGCTGGGGCCTCATTACAGTATTGTTTTTGGCCAAAAATGTTGTTCAAAATTTAACAATTTTAGAACAAATTTTGCTGCCACGCGTTTCATACCCAAAACATTCGAAAAAATTTCATGGGACGAGCCAATCAATGTACCAACATCATCAGCTACTTCTCTGATGGTTTATAACCATTTCTTCCACTTTTCCATGTTTTTATCGGTTGTTAATGTGCTTGTGCGTTCGGGGCGTTCGTCATCTTGGAAACTCTTATTCCACTTGTAAACTCTTGTTTTACTTATAGCAGACTCACTATAGGCCTTTGTTAACATTTCACAGAATTTATTTAATTTTTTAAGCAAAATTGGATACAAATTCTTTGATCCGTTTCTTTTAACGAACGAAAAATCGCCGAGCTCATAAAACACGTCTAACCTTAGCGGCTGCCACAGACAAAGTAAAAAATGAAAACAGCTAAAGTTTTTATCATACGAGGGCATGTATACCAACATAATAAAGAAAATTTTATGACAACCGGACCCTCCGCGAAATTTAACAATTCCCGATATTTTCTGAACACACCTCGTTTGCAAATAAGAAAATCCTACCTCAATTTTTGGCAAAAATTAGTTAGGATGATTCGACAAAAGCGATTTTGACTTGGAACAGTAGTATGTACTCTGACGTCCTGATAAAGAAAGTGGGTATCTATCTACATTTTGAGTCGAACCGAGAAATAAAGCAAATAAGTCAAGGATGTGTCATAACCCTGCTTAAAATACCCTATAGAGACCTATACAAAATAATCTATCCGGCGCTAAGGGATTCATATGTGCATTTGTCCATGGTTTTTTCTGGATACGGCCCTATAGAAAATGTATAGGAAATTACCTATAGGCACACCATAACTTTTACATTTTCCCTATTGAGACCGATAGCAAATAACTCAATGAAGGATATATAGGGATATCCCTATAGAGCAACCATAAAACATTTGACAAAATTGTATTAAAACCTATGGGATCCTATGGGGGAAAATATGTATGGGGTATTTTAAGCAGGGAAGTTATGACTCATAACACGACCACACTGACCTTTGTGGAGGTCATAGCTTATTTAATTCCATTCTAGACTTTGTGGGAATCGACTTGGGATACTTTAATCTTTAAACTACGCGAAAAAAATAGTCTTTATAGGAAAAATCGATATTTATTTGTTTAAGTTTATGTTTTTTAAAGATATTAAAAAATAAAGTAGACAATGATGTAAAGCTTAAAAATTTGAAATAAAATCACTTTTGTTTTTGAAAATTGGTCAGTATTTGTGGAAGATATAAGCTAATTACTAAACCACTATAAACCCTGACTCAGGGTCCCTGACCGGCCTACTTTAACGCTCTGTATATATACAAAACGCGTCACTCAGTTTGATAAATATTCGAAAACAGTAAATACCTCATATACAGTGTGTTTCATTTTGATTGGCGACAATTCAGTATTTATTTAAAATTAAACGAATTAAAAAAAATTAGTCATTTCCATGGCCCTCTATAATTGATAAAAGGTGTCCAAAAGCGTCAAAAGTTTTAGGAATTTTTAAAATTTAAAAACAGATAGCGTTTCTGAATTTGCCATACCCAAAAACCCCTAAAACGATAATTTTGTAATAAAATTTGATGATGGTCAAAAAGTAAGATCAATTGGACGGCTTTCTGCAGAATGGGACCAACCCACACCATGATGAAACTGAGAAAAAAGCTATCAAAGATTTTAATAATTTTAAAATTACCTGTTAATTTTATGCCGATTTTGGACTTACGGAGGTTTAAGGGATATAATTTAATAATTTCATCAGGTGGATTTTGTGATGTTATGTGTAAGGGTGACGAAAAAAATGGGCTTTTGTTGGTTGGTTCCTTTCTGCAATTTATGAAAACTACTATCTGATGTATGTATGTATTTAAAGAAAAGCGACAATTATTTATTTCCAAACAAAATACAACTGATATTACTATTATAATGGTAATATGAATTAATTTTGATTCTATTTGAAATTCGTCCACATAATCTTCCAACCCCACCTCATCTTGTAAGCTACCAAAAAAATGCATCAAGACATTATATTTTGCAGAAGCAGGAAATCTTTAAAGACTTTGGTAGTGGGTCTACCAGCCTGCTTTTTTACAAAAAATATCCAACCCACTTGCAGATATTCTACAGATTCTAATTCTGGATTAGTAATCCACACTATTATTGAATGTTGGTTGGTTCAATGATTAATAGATTTCACTACACTTGCATTTTGGCTATGACCTATTTTGCAGATAAATTATACATACTTAATTAGTTCATAGGCTAAATATCTCGATTTTTTTGGTTTTGTGGGTTGGTTCCTTTCTGCAGAAAGGCGTCCAATTTTGGAAAAAAACATTTTTTTAAGCACTCTGTATAAATTTTGCAAAAACATTCTGTCATTTCTTTAGGTATTACACAAACTACACATTCGCTTAGTTTTGTTTCTCTAGCTTATACAAAGTGTTCACAAATTAAGGTCAAAAATTATTATATTATAAAATAATGGTCTTATAAATAGAAATATTAATTTAATTAGAGGCATAATAATAAAGAATAAACTATAGGTACACAAATGTGTAATGGTACTTAAAAAATACTTTTAAAAGTTCATTCATTAATGTTTTGGCTCTAATTACATTAATTTGCTGTTTTGACCATCCTGTATACAATTTTATTAGAAATTATCGTTTTAGGGGTTTTTAAGTAGGTATTCCAAATTTAGAAACGCTATCTGTTTTTAAATTTAAAAAATGCCTAATAACTTTTGACGTTTTATATATATAATACCTACCCTGCCCAAAATGCACCATAGAAATCAATAAATATATATATATATATATATATATATATATTATATAGATATATATATATATATATATTTATTGATTTCTATGGTGCATTTTTGGCAGGGTAGGTATAGGAAGGCAAAACATGATAACTCACTAATTGAAAACTACCTTTAATTTATTAAATATGTGTGCCATCCCAAAATACATTATTTTTGTTTAAATATCATGTTAATGCGTAAAATAACTCTGTTATTAATATAAATAATAGGCCCATACCATTGAGTAAGATCTTACTCAATGCCCATACTTTGATTAGCCACCTAAATTGAATTTTAGGTGGCTAATAAAGAAAATTAATAAAAAATTAACATGATCTAAAGTAGTAATTATCATAATAAGTAGTATCATATTATGTAAACATTATTTTTTAAAAGCTTTGTGGATTTGTATTAATTTCAAAGTAATAAACCAATATTAAATCATAACATACTCAATAAATATTATTTAATCTTTATAGTAAGCAAATATTTACATAAGATGTGACCCAAGGGGGTCACTATTTTCTAAAAATTATTTTATTGTTGAATTGATATGAGAAATTGAAATAACATGAAAAAATTCCAACAAGTTTTATCTAAAGGAAAAATTCATGCCTTTTAAAACTATTCCCTGTACAAATGTAATAAGAATTCTGTAAATGGAAAATTCTATGTAAAATATAAAAACTCTTGCATCATTTCATTAATAATAAATAGTATCCAATTCTTACCAATCAACAGCCCATTGACCCTGAACTTAGCAGAGATAATTTGCTCCTGGGACCATTGGGGGTCATGGTTTGCATCATCTTTGAAGAAAGTCTCATGTTTTGGTGGACAGAAGCGATAACCTTCTTCAACTCCTGGGTGCCTTTTCAAAAATGAACCTGTTGCCAATCTACGGGTGACCCATTCAATTGGAATCATCTCGCATTTTTTTGAAACAAAAGCATTTTCGGCTGCTACCTTTACAAAGGATGTCTTAACACCTGAAAAGTAATTTTGAAATTAGAAATAATAAAAAACAGATTTGTAAAACTTACCAACAGAATTTAAGATTTCAAAGACCTTGCTTGTAGTTTTATTGGAAACCACAGATTTTCCAGCTAAATCATGAGCTTTAACACCATCTCCAGCAGTGATTCTATCTTTGCTCAGTAAAATGCAGTGTTCAGATGAGGAAGGTAAGTCATAGACCTGCTTGGTTTTGCCCTCTATTAAGAGTTTGCCCAATTTATAATTACCAACTGAAATAAGAGGGTACTGGCTTAAAAAACTTGTTTGAATATACATTTAAAATGTTAGAAAGTGAAAGTTATAACATAAAATCTAAAAATAATTTTTTATTATCGGTTTGGTCACCCCTGACCACCTGTTGAAACCCGAGTTTGAGGTTATTATTTGAGATTTATATTAAACTATATTATATTCAATATGGTGTTACCTTGTGTTGCCATTGTAAATATTTTGCCAATAACCCTTGAACACTAACTGCAGCAACTTTTTTCTTTGATTTAGTGGACGAGCGAATCAACCAGCGTTTTCATTCCATATAATAGTTAAACGCGCATGCGCAAATTTCAAATTTAATTTTTTATCCGGCGATAATACGAAAAATAATAAACAAGTAAACATAGTTTTATCTGTTTAAACTTGACGTCATATGAAGAAATTCTCATTATTAATCGAAAACAAACTATTATTTCGTAAGTTGGTCAGTAGCGAGTTTGTTTGAATAAAAATTTGGTGGGGGAAACACGTGCTATTTAAAAAGCCACAAGAAAATTTCAATTTTAAATCATTGTTAATTTATTGTGTAAGTGTTAATTATTCTGTGTGAGAGGTAATCCTTATTACATTATTACCTTTAATAAATAAAATTTAAAGTTAATTAACAAATAATAGACAAGTAGTCCAAACATACCATCGGCAGGTAGATCGAAAGATATAACCAGACTATATTACTATATTACTATGTACCAGGGCTGGCCAAATTATTTTGTTATTGCTAATAGCAATATGCTATTTATAGTAAAATATTTTGTATTGACAAACACATGGATTTAAAAATAATATAATGATAATGAAAATAATAAAATTAATTTAGTTATAAAATCGCCTACTATTTTTAAAACATGGAAACCATTTTTTTTTATTTAAAAATTAACTACAAATAATTATGTAATTAATCGCAAAATAATATTTATTATATTATAATGAATTTATGATGATATTTCAAGTTGCAAAATATTGTTTTTATTTAAAAATCATCGTAAAGTTTTAATTAACTACGCGATAACTAATGTTTATCGTTTTGAAAGTCAGTTTCCATCTGATGTAACCAAGTTTTAAGATTTCAAAATTTTGCAAGAAGCACAGGGGTTATCAGGGTTACTGGAAAGCATATTTTTTCTAACAATTAGTCCGCTTATAAGAATGTTATTGTTCCAGTTAAGTAGTTTGAATTAGTACCTCCAGCTGCGAAAGATGAGTGACATTTGCCACTATGACCACAAGAATGAAGCAGAGGATTTGGCCTGCGAGATGGAAAGCATAGGAATTAGTAAGAGAAAAGGCAGAGGAGTTGTTTCGTCTGGATTAACCCACGAATGTGGAGTTTTCGGCGCTATTGGTACCGGAGAATGGCCCACGAAATTGGAAATTGCTCAGATTGTCTGCTGGGGATTGGTAGCTTTACAACACAGGTAAACATTTGTGTGTCTATTTACTTATATAAAATATATTTATTCAACACCCATAACTAGGGTGACCCATTTCATTTCTTCACTTTAACCGGTGGGCAAAATTTTACTACGCCCACGGACTGAACTCAGTAAGCACAAGTTAGTTGAATACGTTTGGCAGAATTGGCCGCGTCCGGCCCGGAACACGTATCAAATTTGGCATGTAGACAGGGCATGTCCGCCTGGCCGAATGTCGGCTATTTTTACCCGGCTGCTATGTTCAGGGCCGGCGTTAGCTTATTAGAGGCCAGGTGCAAAAGAAAAATGCGGGGCTTGAACTAAAAATTTACTCTTGAAAATTAACATAGCGCTTAGCGGCAATAAACCAATAAAACATCAAACGAAAAACCAATTAAAGGGATTAGAGCTGAAACCGCCCAAGTGTATTTTTAAGTCAAAATTTTTTAGCGTGTTACCGGATAGTAGAAAATTTTGACTTAAAAATGCACTTGGGTGGTTCAGCTTTTCCCTTCAATTAATATAGAAATTAACGTTTAAGAAAAAATCACACATAATTTTTCCCTGCTTTAGCGGAAGCTCTTTTCCAACATCCTTCTCTATTGACAATATAGCCAAACCCACTAGTCGTTCTTGGCACATACCTACCTTCATGATCTTAAATATTTTTTTATTAATTTTAATTTTGAAAAACTCTTTTCCCGGCGTAATAATAATTGTTTTAAAAGGATTCAGGCAACTTCAAATACACATTTAGCAACATTGAACTGAATGATGATGATGACGATACCTACCTTGGAGTCTTTTGGAAGAGTTAATAAGACTTTTAGCAGAGAAATGGCAGACCTACCTGTAGGTTAGCGATAAAAATAAATATCCGGAATTATTCAAAGAGGTTGTATTTGGTTAATGTAAAATAAAACATAAAGAAAACTATTTATTAACTTTTTTCTGTGTTGTTTTAAGCCAAGATTATTGTATAATTACATAATAATAACAAATAGTCCAGTCAAACCGTGATGAAAATGTCCTGACCTCGAGCCAGTGGCGGATTTAAGAAAAAAGGCCCAGGCGGCAAAGTTTTAAAGATAACATAAATTCATGGTTAAATAAATTATAACATTTCAGCTGGGGGGCCCTTTAACCTTTCTGTTAGGGGGCCCAGGCGGCAACTGCGCATTTGCCGCACGTTAAATCCGCCTCTGCCTCGGGCCTGACCTTGGGTGCCAAGGCACTGTCTGTTTTTTTTCATGAATCGATAGGGGCCTATTTGAATGTTCAAAAAAATAGTGTTCAGCCGCCTATACTGTAGGTGGTAAATTAGCGAGATTGTATTTGATTTTCACGATGCGTCCACGAGAACAGCTTCATAAAGTGAAGTGAAAATGTTTTACCCTGTTGACGCTATATATTGTTGTAGCCAGGTTTCTTTGATTTAAAAAAGCTGTAGGTAACGGTTTCAAGGGGTTACAACCTCTTTGGAAAAACATTTTCATTGTCCTATATGGAGGAGAATGCAATAAAACAATGCTAGATCATTTACCGCTAAAGCTGTTCTCGTGCACGAATGGTGAAAATTATATCTAATATCGCTAATTTGCAACCCACACAATCACCGACTGAACATCACTTTTTTACAACATTTCATCAGATAAAGGCATAGCTGGGGAAAGAGTAAAGCTAAAAACTTGTGTCGACCTCAGAAGGGACCATCATCACTGGTCGACAGCATTTCGTGCTGGTGTACAAATCAATGTCCAAGCCGGATTAAATCGTTTTGTAGTTTGCAAAGCCGGGAAAATATGTTCAAACGCTCGTGGATTGGTCGCTTCTTGTTAGTCGCACCAAGATCTATTTTTTAAATTTTTAAAAATTAATAGGGCTACAAAATGTTTATCGTAATAATTTATCGTAAAATGCCCAGTTTGCGGAAATATTTTCAAAAAATTGAAAAAACCAAACCCAAAAACAAAATGTTTAATTTAACAAACTTCATTTTTTTACTTATTTGTATAAATAAAAAACAGACAAAAATTATAGGACATTTTATAAAAAATAATTAGATTTTTTACTTTTTATAGTGCAGTATACAGGGGCCAAGATATTCACTAAAAACTGAAAATATTTATTTTTGCTATACTTTGTAAAAAAAATATTAATTCATGAAAAAAAACAAAAATTCAAACGACAGAATGACTGGACTAAGGTGTAAAAATTACCTATAACAATTATAATTTTTTACATGCAATGTAGGTACCTACGTTTTCTTTCCTCAGCTGACCAATTAGATCACAGCTGATCGCATCTTCCCACGTTTTGTAGATAGCTCTTGGTCAGTGAAATGTGCGGGTATTTTACTCGAAAATCGGGTATTTTGTAATTTTTGCCGGTAAAATTTCGTAGCGGGTGAAATCGGCTAAAGAAATTTTCATTATTCATTATTCATTATTATTTTATCATTTTACATTTTTAATGACTTATATAAAAAAAGTTAATTAATTTAGTTGTGAACCGTTTGGTTTATGTACATATATGTTTTATTGTAAATTACAATTTGTAATGAATTGAAATAAACTTTGCATACCTATAATGTAAACATTGTTGTTATAAGCCTTATAACAACACAAAAACAATGTTTATAAATTCTTTTATTTGTGTTTTCTTTTACAATAATCAAATACAACATAGATCTCTGAATAATTATTTATTTTAATCGCTATAGCTATTTAGGTACCTACCACTTCTTTGCTAAAAGTTTTATTAGGTCTTTCAGTAGACTTCCAAAGTTATTCCGACTTAATAAGTCTTATTCTGACTTTTTCCGACTTAATAATCTTATTCAGAGTTTTTAAGTAAAAGTAAGACTTTCAAAACTCTTATTTTTACTTATTAAAACTTATTCAGAGAAAAATATCCACAAAGGTATAGGTGGCCGAGTTCCGGCCACGACCGCCAGGCCATCCAAAAAAAAACTATATAGGCCGACGTTCTGGCTCTATAGGTTCAGTCCTGAAATCCTCTGAATGGAAAGATCGCTAGGTCTTTAAAACTAGATTAGGTACCTAGCCATTATTTGTTACTGAAACGATCAATGTTCAGATGTCTCATTAGTTCATTAGTAATGACTCAGGGCTGGATGCATTCCAGAATTTTTTCAAACTACGACAGTCTATTAATATCCCCTCAAACTGTACGCCAACCGTACAATCTTCATTCACTCTTCGTCACAAACGCAGGCGGTTGGTATCGGGATTCTCAGAAAACCGTGATTTATCTGTGAAAAGTCATTTCCAGCCCAGTTTTAATGATTCAAAGCAAATTCCAGGCGTCGCCTTTATGCTTACGAGTCAACATTGGATCCCTAGCTTGTCGTCTGAAGTGAAGTCCACCTTCATGCAATCTTTTTTTATTGTTGATGTTGAAATCATGATACCTATATATAGGTGCTATAGCCACGTGCAATGCTCGTTTCAGTTGGGTAGCATTATTTTTTCTGCTCTGCAAAGCGGTTCTCCTGAGAAGAAGATCTACTGGTGGATTTGTTACACTTTGACATCCCCCGTGTGTGTAAATTGCTCCTTTATTTAATATTCTTGCCCTGCACATTTGCCATTTTTACAATTTTAAAAGTATTATTTTAGAATTTTTTTTTCTTACTTTTCAGAGGCCAAGAATCCGCTGGAATAGTGACCAGCGAAGGAAAATGCTCAAAATACTTCAACATAGTCAAAGGCATGGGTATGATAAGCAACATCTTCAATGACGACGCGATAAGAAAATTAAAGGGCAGTATCGGTATCGGGCACACGCGTTACTCTACCTCGGCCGCCTCCGAAGAAGTTAACTGTCAACCATTCGTGGTGCACACCGCGCACGGTGCTCTCGCGGTCGCGCACAACGGCGAACTTGTCAATTGTGACAGCTTGAGACGGCAAGTTTTGCAACATGGTGTCGGTTTATCGACACATTCAGACAGTGAATTGATTACGCAAGCTTTGTGTTTGAATCCGCCAGAGGGCGAATCAGACGGTCCAGACTGGCCAGCCAGGATTAGGCATTTCATGCAGTTGGCACCGCTTAGTTATTCCCTGGTTATTATGCTCAAGAACAAGATATATGCTGTCAGAGACACTTATGGCAATAGGCCGTTGTGTTTGGGAAAAATTCTGCCACAAAATGAACGTAAGTATAAAAAAATACACTTAATGACACAAAAAGCCAATTACTTATACAGTGTTGCCAACCCAAAATCTATCTAGGATGTACTACATCCGATGTAGATATCATTTTAAAATTTGCTAGTTTTCAACAAATTTTACTTTAATAAGTTAGTAGATCTACCACCTATATTTTTCGAGTATTCTAGAGAAATCTTCCACTCTAATGGAACCAATTATAAAGCAGAATTTTAGCAGTACTTTAAATTGCAAAATATCTCATTTTGAGGATTTTAAATGTTATCAGGTTTTTAATAAATTAACTGCAGAAAACAGTACTGTGTACAGCACAAGCAATTTCCTCACAAACTGACTCAGTAAAGAAAACATTTGTGTATCATTGCCTTTTTTTATTTGGTGAATCCATCAAAGGCTAAAAAGGTTAAAAAACACAAGGCATAGTACTGCCTCTTTCACGGAGTTTTGATTAAAAGAATTTAAAAACTTAAGATGGTAGATTTTTTTTCCAAAGTAGTAGAGTTGAGCAAGACACTAAAAGTTGGTAGATCTACCGAAACGTTGGTAGAGTTGGCAACGCTGGTATTTACTAGGGCTGTCACAAGTATTCGGTTAACCGGTTTTTATTTTCCGTGGAAACCGTGGTTACACTTTTAATAAAAACCGGTTTTTTCGACCGGTTAAAAACCGTTTTTTGACCGGTTAAAAACCGGTTTTTTCGACCGGTTGAAACCCGTTTTTTTTCGACCGATTAAAAACCGTTTTTTCGACCGGTTAATAACCGGTTTTTTCGACCGGTTGAAAACCGGTTTTTTCGACCGGTTAAAAACCGTCTTTTCGACTGGTGAAAATCAGTTTTCTTGACCGATCCAAGACCGGTCATAGTCTATAATTTTTAAAAGTTGGACTGTGTGGTGCGGCCTTTGACGGTAAGCACCGCAGCACACGCCGTTCGTGAGTGGCTGTTGCTTATATAATAAACGAGCCCAGAATCATATCATTTGGCCCAGTCACAGAAAAGTCAATATTTTATTTTTTACTTAATTTTGGCAAACACAAAAGAAAAATCTATTGAATTCAACTATTATTACTGTAATAGTTGGATTCAATAGATTTTTCTTTTGTTTTTGTTGTCTAAAATTAAGTAAAAAATAAAATATTGACTTTTCTGTGACTGGGCCAAATGTGTATTTACTAAATACACATAAAATACGCATAAATACTATTTATTAAATACCATTTAGATAATTAAAATAAAAATTTATAAAATTCTTTTCAAAAACGGGGTTTTGCCGCCATCTGTTAATAACATTATGAATGACAGTTGTGAATGAATAGATTGTTGAATAAAATGGTTTAACTAGTGTTTTTTTATGGATATTTGACTAATTTTGTTGTTTAGAGAGTAATCTTTTGTTTAAAAACATTTGCCTTTACATTAAAACTTACTTTAAGAAGTACCTATGAACCATCATTATAGCATTTGATATATCTTTCTTCGGAAGAAATTCTTTTTCATAGTGGTCTTTATATGCTGCCAAAAGAATTTGATTTGTTGGTTTTTATTTACCGTGCAATTTTGCGGTTAAGTTTTAAAAGAATCATAACTTGGTTAAAAACTCGTTCATAAAAACCAGTTAAAAATCGATTTTTCTGAATAATCAAAAACCGGTTTTGGATCAATTTCTAACCGGTTTTAAAAACCGAATTGAACCGGTCAAATAAATCGGTTTTTTAACCGGTCAAAAAAAATCGGTTTTCTTAACCGGTCCAAAAAATCGGTTTTTTTAACCGGTCAAAAAAAATCGGTTTTTTAACCGGTCGAAAAAAATCGGTTTTTTAACCGGTCGAAAAAAGCGATTTTTCAACCGGTCGAATAAACCGGTTTTTTCGACCGGTTAAAAACCGTTTATGTACGGTTTTCAAAACCGGTTTTTTTAAAAACCGGTTAAAAATCCTATGACCCGTTAACCGCCTCATAATTTTATTTCTGACAGCCCTAGTATTTACTTTAAAAGTATAAAATATTAATTTATTTTAATTTTGGTTACTTATAGTATAGATATCCCCAACTAAACAATCTAAACCTTGACCCACACATCTCAGTAACTAGTTTATACGACTCGTAGACTACGAGTATCTACGAGTGTGAGTCAACTAAACTGTTTTAGATAGTGGGGTAGTTAATAACTTGCGTTTTTATTCATTTCATGAAAAACACAAAAATCGTTTAAATCCTTGCACAGCCACAGCCTGAAGGTTTTTACTTTAATTTTGTAATAGCATTATTATAAGTTAAGTTATATATATATATATAAATGCATTTACATTTTTTTCTACTCCCATTATCGTACATGTTTCCATGACACTAAGTGACCTTTTAAATACACATTGAAAAGTTGTGGCTTTATGGCGTTTTAGTCACGGGCTGAAGTTAGCAACAGTTTTTTAGACACGGGCTAAAGTTAGTATTAATTTAGTTGGCAGTTGTCAAATGTCATACAATCGTTAAAATAAAGTGCCTTTCTTGTAAAATAATACCTACTAAATGTAAAAATTATTTTATTATCTCAATACAAAAGATTTAAATAGTTTCTCAACGCCAATATTTGAAAAGTTTATATGAACATTGTACTGACCTTTTAATTTCGCCGGCAGTAAACTTTAACTTAAATTCGGGCTCGGACTCCACTGTAAAGTGCTCATAAAACATTTTCTTTACTTTCACTGTGAAAACTTGATACATAATATACTATTAAATATTGTTATAGATTTAAAAATGTAGATTCATATAGGTATATAATAATAAAAACGAGGGTGGTTCGAAAAGTTCTCGGTCTAAAACACTGACGAATATCACTATAATGAAAATGTTAATATTTTTATTATAGTGATATTCGTCATTGTTGCTTATTTCTCTATAACAAGATTTATAAATATAGATGCATTGCATTGCTTATTGCATTCATTTCCTAACATCCTCTGACATTTTCTTCAATGTTTTATAAATAGTTTACGAGATAATGATTTTTTAACCAAAGGGTGCAGAAATGTTCAACCGCACATTAGTAATAAATAAATACTTTTTTTTTAATTTTATAAGGTGAGTTGATACTTTAATTAATTGTGGGCTCATTTTTACTCTATAGCTAGTCCCTCAAAATTTTGATTATGACGAAGATACAACAAAAACCTTGAGATCCCAATATAATTGTTTTTTAAAAGTTTTATTATTTCCTATGACTATATATTTAATAATAAAATATTTAATACTGGCTTCGCTCCGTGGTTCTAAGAAAAATAAGGGTCATCTATATAAATATAAAAACAAATGTTTTATTGTTTGTCACGTTTCAAGACCTAAGAAACCTTCATACCAAATTTCATCAAAATCCGTCTAACCGTTAAATACTTCCAAAAATGGCGAATGCCCTGGGATTAATTATAACTGAAAACTTAAAAAATCCTTTCTTAGCGCTTAAACATGTCCTTTGGGTCCAGCGGTTTGGTCTGGGCGTTGATGAATTAGGAATTTTTTTAAATTTATTCTAATGTAGGAATTTGTCCTACCATTTTTAAAATTTATCCTTCTGTTCGAATATTTTCCACTTTTTTTTTAATTTTAAACTACTGTGCGGATGTGCCCAACCATTTTTTAAATTTATGAATGCAAGAGGGCCGTTTTCAATTAGCCTAAACATTAATTTTAATGTACAGTATTTTATTACCCGGTCAATTTTGTTCGCACGCATGTACTATTGCTAACAAAAAAAACTCATACAGCTATATTGTGGCTGTGTGAATAAAACTTTTCCGTCAATGTCAAGCTGACATCGAGCTTTGTCACATCCATTATGACTTTTTTAACAACATTTTCAACCAAACAATGCAGACGAACTCTGGCAAGCCATTGACGCCATTTGGAACGAGATAAAGCAAGACGGCGACTTCCATGCTTTGCCGTTTGCGGGCAGTAATTGACAAAAACAGAGGGATGACGAAATATTTTTTTTTTCAAACTTCAACCTAACTTTGTATTTAATTTTAGACCTTTCAAATGTGACGTATCATGTTAAAAGCCATAATTACTCCAACGAAATGATAGAAAATCAGGAACACTAGATTTTTAAGCTGTATGAGTTTTTTTTGTTAGCGATAGTACAGGGTGTCCCAATTTGGTTGTACGTATAGGGTCATATCTCTTAACCTAAAAGAGCTAAAAAAAATCTGTCCACACTAATGAATTCTATGATAAAAAGTGCCTACATAATATTTTAAACCTGTATTCGTAACTCAAATATTAACGAAGCTACAAGCATTTCGCGACCTGAGAATTAGATTGTTCTATCTCCCAAAATTTAAAGAGGAACAAATAGCAGTTTAAAGTTCAATTTATATGCAAATGAAATTTTAAAAAGCTGTTTTTCCGTGTTTAGGTTTTGGGAGATTCTATCTTTCAAAAATCTGACACGGAAAAACAGCTTTTTAAAATTTCATTTGCATATAAATTAAACTTTAAACTGCTATTTGTTCCTCTTTAAATTTTGGGAGATAGAACAATCTAATTATCAGGTCGCGATTTGTCAAAATTGGCAAAAATTGAAAAAATAGGTAGGTATATCTCCTAAACAAATGCCCATCGATAAAATTCAAAGACATCAACCGATGTATCTTTAAAAAAGACGACAGGGATGCGTGGTCAAATTTTTTCTAGCATTTATATTTACTGAGATAGCCTATACGGACAACCAATTTGGGATACCCTGTAGTACAGCCGTAACTCGTAAAATGTAGATATGTACAGGGCCTGTACATATCGTCGTTTATCTGACAAAGAGGCGTATCTCATTTTTAAACAAAACGGTGTGAATTGAATTACGCCAGTTTGTACGGCACACAAAATGCAAAAATATTAGTTACGCCGAAACTGATTTATGCTAAAACTTTATTTGTACCTATTTATTATAGAGCTACGCCAGTTTGTGAGATTATAAAGTCGATTTTGGTGATCATTCTGGTATAACTCAAAAACGATTTTTTTTGAGTTACGCCTCTTTGTCAGATAAACGACGATATCTACATTTTACAAGTTACGGCTGAGTCAGACAGCCTGACGCTCAAACTCCCCGCGGCTGTAGCATGTATATTGCAGAACACGCATACATCGACGGGACTTACCTCTGCGACTTCATGCTCTCTTGATAGTTCCGTGAAAGTAGTAAGCTGTGACGTCTCTACCGTCTTTTGCTGAAATTATACCTACTATTAATGCGTCTCCAAAAGAAGTATAAATATTGTATACAGGGTGTCACCTAAAAAATTATCATTTTTTGCATTAGAGCTACTGTTTTTTAATAAAAAAAATTATGACATTTCTTTGACTAAACCAGGGAGCCACTGGATGTCACTGACCTATCCTATAATTCATCATTGTTTTTACCTCTAAAAACAATGATATTATTCATCCAAGCAAAAAAGAAACAGGTGGGCGACATTCATTAAAAACTTGGATTTATGTATTCAATGATAACACAAATGTACATAAATGTTTAATGAATGTAGATTCTTGCCCACTCTTCAAGCACATTTTGCGTCAGTTGCAACTGACATGTCGTCGTTCAGGAACAACCAGTGGCAGCCCAAAATTTCTACTTTACTTATAAAAATGTTAATGATTATTTTATTTAAAAAATGACGCTAATGCAAAAATAATAAAGGAAAAATTTTCTTATTTTGGCGTGCACTAACATCAACTTAAATGATGACAACTTATGTGGTTTTAAAAATGGTTTTATTGCTTTTTATTTTATTTGATCACTCACACTCTACCATTGTTTTCTCAGAGCAAAAACCTTGGCCAAAACAGTGTTATAAGTGTTATTTATTAGGGTGGTTCTTATTTGACTGATGTCAAAATTTTAATCGTTCTGCCCCTCATTTCTTTTAAAAAGTATAAAAAAAATGTATGCCAAATTTGAATGTCCTAACTTATTTCCTTCTATTGCCTGTAACAACGAGAACTTTTTCAGATAGAGGATTTTTACCTTTAATGTATCAATTTTTTAAAATTACTATTAATCTATGAAAAAGTATAATTTTTTGGGAAAATGTAAAGGACATACAAAATTACAATTATGTAAATAATGAAATTGATTTTTAGATTGTTTTAGAACAATATATTTTTAAAGAAAGTAATATAGTTAAAATGGCAAAAAAATAAACAAAATAAAACCCAGATAATTAGGTTTCTGGTATTTTAAAAATTGTTTACAACATTCTTTTTTTGCGTCGGTAAATGCTTTTCGAAACTCTGACACAAGCTGTACAACAAATTGGTTCTGGTCTTCATTGTGTGTTATGATTGAGTTTTACTCGTCAAATAAATGCACAGCTCTTTCGGCAGCATCGTTAACGATTCTCAGCTGAGTTACAGTTTTTAAACCGTTTTGACAATTTTCGTCCTGAGGCCACATAGTCGGATCGATTTTCAAAAAAGTGTCATCGATATCCCATCGCTGAAAGAATCTTCTTGCTTGAGGTGTTGTAATATATTATTGTACAGCTTGTGTCAGAGTTTCGAAAACCATTTCCCTACGCAAAAAAAGACTGTTGTAAACAATTTTTAAAATACCAAAAACCTAATTATCTGGGTTTTATTTTGTTTATTTTTTGCTATTTTAACTATGTTACTGTTTTTAAAAATAAATTGTTCGAAAACAATCCAAAAATCAATTTCATTATTTACATAATTGTAATTTTGTACTTTTCCAATGTTGGTGCTTCTTTCAAAACACACTAATTATGCATTAAATGCAAATCATCACTGATATTTTGTTTTTTATGCCATTTTCAATAAAATAACAATAATAGTAATAATTGAATATAGTAAAGAAGGCCTTACTATTGACATACATGAATCTTTTTTTCTTGTTTAAAAGTACCATATTTTCCCTTCATTTCCTCAAAAAATTAGAATTGTTCATTAATTATAATTATTAATGATTTTATAAAATTATTGCGTTTTAAAGCAAAAATCCCCTATATGAAAAACTGTAAGTAATAATCGAGCGAAGTAAAAAAGACCTTAGGACGAAAATACTTTTTCATAGATTAATAGTAATTTTAAAAAATTATTACATTAAAGGCAAAAATCCTCTATCTGGAAAACTTCTCGTTGTTACAGGCAATAGAAGGAAATAAGTTAGGACATTCAAATTTGGCATACATTTTTTTATATTTTTTAAAAACAAATGAGGGGGCGGCACGATTAAAATTTCGACATCGCGATCGCGGTCAAATAAGAACCACCTTTTATTTTTTAAATATACAATAAGAACCACCTTTTATTTTTTAAATATATGATGGCGTCTATCCAATAAGAGGATCAGACCCACTAGTTTTGACGAGGAGATTTGAAATGCCAATGCTTTCAAGCAGAAGATTTATAACTTCTCAAATCTTTCTTTTTAAATTAGTGCATGATTTAGTTGACTGTCCAGCTTTACTTTATAAATTAAATTTATTTGTACCTAGAGTAAACTCGCGTCAAACTCTTACATTTTATCCTGGTTTAGCAAGGACCAACATACTTAAAAAATCTCCGATACATACATTGTGCTTAAACTTTAATAATGTTAGCTTGGATTGTGATTTATTCTTTTGTAAGGTAAGCGATCTTTTGGCAACATGTAAGATATTTCTACAATTATAGTAAATTATTTTTAAGATTAACTAATTATATAATTTATTTATTTATCATATAATTATATAACATAATCAACTTTTGTTTTAAAACACAGTTAGGTTTATTTTTAGTTGTTTCTTTTATGAATGCATTTGTATCTATTATTATTATAGTTATTGTCCTGTAATAGGATTAATTTCTGTTGGGCAAATAAAGATTATTATTATTATTATTATTATTATTATTATTATTATTATTATTATTATTATTATTATTATTATTATTATTATTATTATTATTATTATTATTATTATTATTATTATTATTATATATAGAGATGGGATTTTAGTGTTATCACCTATTTGTCTACGCTAATCATAACTTTAGGTGCAATGGAATAAAATCCGTTTTGAAGAAAATTATTTCGTTAGAGCATGATTTTATTTTACCTAAATTTTCATTTTCAAAAGAAATTGACCTAATTTTTACATTTTACCAGTGTAATTTTACCTACTTCACCTAAATTCTTATTTTTAACAGAAATTTTTAAATTTTATCATCAAAAATATTCTTTTTGTAATATTGGGATTGTCTCATTTCGATGACATATTTCTTATGCACCATGTAGTTATTTTTGTTCTACAGGATTGGTAACCAACCACTCCTTCTATCACAATGAATGTAAATTTGTTATTTTCAGCAATTGTATTCTTATTGACACAAACATTTTGAGTGTGCCGCCTCAATTTTTTTTTTAAATTATGATTTTAAAAGAATTCATCGTCAGTTATTTTAAAAAAATTTTAAATAATAAAAATATTGTTCAATAGAATTTTATACAATATTAAATTAAATTTTTTTACCACCAAAACTTGCTCCCCAGTGCTTACTTTTTTTCATACTTACCTAATTTAAGAATTTTCTTACCTGAAACAAGAAAAAACTTTACCTATTTTTATAAATTTGGCAACATAAAATCCCATCTCTAGTTATATAGCTAACTTTCTTATTTCTTTCGTAGCTCTGGACGGCGAATGTGACGAAAGCAGGGAAGCAGAGGGTTGGGTAGTTTCTTCGGAATCTTGCGGTTTCTTGTCAATTGGCGCCCAATACGTCCGCGAAGTATTCCCAGGAGAAATAATCGAAATGACGCGTCACGGAATCCGCACCATCGATATCGTGCCAAGACCGGAAGACAAGGCCCAGGCTTTCTGCATATTTGAATACGTTTATTTTGCGCGTGCCGACAGTATTTTCGAGGGTCAGATGGTTTATGCTGTAAGGATACAATGCGGAAGACAACTGGCTATCGAGCATCCAGTAGAAGCCGATATTGTGAGCGCTGTTCCAGAATCTGGCAACTCTGCAGCTCATGGCTATTCCAGACAAAGTGGTATTTCATTTGCTGAAGTTCTATGCAAGAACAGATACGTCGGCAGATCCTTTATTCAACCTAGTAATAGGCTTAGGCAATTAAGTATTGCCAAGAAATTTGGTAAGTGGCTGCTTAAAATTTAAATAATATTACTGGTAAAAAAAATAAAATGTTGCAATAAAAATAAAAAGTTTTTAACGATTTTTTAGCCCTATTGCAACATTTTATTAAAAACAGCATGATTTGATTTTATTGTATTATTTAAAATAAATTTGCATTTTGACATAAAAAAATTCCGAACTGGCTGGATTTTGGATATGGTATTCCTGGCGGTCTAAAAGGTGAAATGACAAATTCCCGTGTTCCCCCTTCGGCCCTTTATCCCTTTTTGAAATAAAAAAAATGAATAATTTCCTATCGGTCGTATTTAAAAAGTTTTAAAACAAAAAATGTAGAGCTTCAAATTTGTATGCCATACTTTCTGTATTTAGTTCCTAAAAAAAGAAGGCTCCAAAGTTAACAAAAATTAGTTTTTTTCTACTCGTATTTTGACCTAAAATTAATTAAAACCCAAAAATGCATTTTAATAGATATCGTTTGTTCAACCGTTTCCGAGTTACAGCCAGTGGCGGATTTACAAATTTTCAAGGTATAGGCTGAATAGTTTTTGCCGCCCTTGCCTCAACAATTGTCATATCATACATTATTTTTACAATGCAACAATTTCGTTGAAATTGCACGTAAAATAATTTTTCGGTATATTTTTGAGCTAATCGAAGCTCAATCAATGTATACTAGGTTGCCTAATTTTGTGATTTTTAACATGCGCGAATAAAGATAAAACAGACCTTGTTGTGTGGATTGTGGGGTAACCTACACGGTTATTGGAATAGAGAAAGAAGCTCGCCACGTGCACGTGCAACATTGACGTCATTGATAACCAGGCCCGGCTCCAGACATTGCGGTACCCCGTGCAAAAATTTTTTGCCGCCCCTCATAGTTACCTACTTTTTAGTGCCTATTAATAAGGTATAATTTCTAAAAAAAAACTATAGTACCTATAACTATAGGTATGTATACATACGATATTATTTAGGTATATATACCTAAATAATATCGTCCCCTTGATGCTACAATTAGATACACTGTTCAAAATTTCATGACCATTTTAACACCAAATTAACACCATACATGGTCTATATCGATACAAAACAAAATGGTGTTAAATATGGTTCGTTGGTCCATTGTAATTTCAAATACTAAAATAGTGTAAATTGAACTCCTTTTCAGTGTTAAATATTATGTGTTCTTGGTCAAATTAAATCATACTAGGTGTAAAGTGTACTTCTCAGTAGTTTGAAAGGATAAAATATTTTTAGATAAACACCGTTTTGTTGTTTGCTGTATATAACATTTTCAAACATAATTCATGGTGTTTATATTAACACCACTTGGTGTTGGATTTTGACACCATATTTAGATTACCCTTTACACCACAGATATTTAAATATAAACAGTGTAATATCGTCCCCTTGATACTACAATTAGAAAAACACATTTATAAATGTATTCTAAAATTGGTAGGTACCTATGTAAGTATTTAGTAGAACTGGATTCGTAAATTTTTCAGTTATCCAGTTGTAGCATTATTTATGAGAATTATTTATTTGTTAATTATTATTTTTATTAAAAGGGTGCATGCTGTGATATTATATTAATTTTGTATAAAATGTGCATGAATACCACTAACTTCTAGCCGGTGCCCCAACATCGATCCCGACTGGACAAAGAATTTATTATATATTATACAATGCATCATTATCATTTAAAATTGACGGCACAACAATAATATAATAATAAATTGTACCTGTATACATGTTAAGGGCACGTTAGTTACGTAATAAAACCAAACCAACCCAAACTCAACAACACAACCCAACCGACCCCGCCCCATTGGCCCCCCCCGCCCCATTGAGCAAAAAACCCAACTAAAATGGGCAAATTTATGTTACGATAAAAATAAAACACTTTTTAACAAAGGAACAACAAATTTATGAAATAAAAAAGTAAAAAAAAATCGACAACTTCTGAGTATCGAACCCGGGACCTCTCGCATGCAAAGCAAACGCCCTACCATCTAAGCTATCTAGCTTGACAACAAATTCTGTATGTTCGGGGAAGAAAACCGGATTATTATTATGACGTCATGTTATAAGGCGGTTCGTGCCAGCTCGTGAGAAGTCGGGATCGATGTTGGGTCACCGACTAGAAGTTTCTCATGAATACCTACCTTAAAATACACACAAAAAGCCCAGCACAATATAAATACCACAACCACAGGGAACAAAATGTCGTCGAAAATGTCTATTTCTTTCAAATTATTAAATTTCAAATAGGTAGTGTACAATTGCCAGAGCCGGCTTAAGGCAATTAAGCGCCTTAGGCATTTACAAATTTGGCTCCTCTAACTAGATACTATACTGCAAATTTTAAAAAAGCTTATTAGAGCCACCCCAAACTGTTACTTTAAGGGCGCCTGAGCATTATAACCTAATTATTCCCTATGAATTAGAATACTTTTTATCATTAAAAAAATACATAAAAAAACATAAATAACATACAAACATAACAAATATAATGTAAATAAAAAGTGTTAGGACTTATAAGTGCGTTTTTCTGCAACATGTCATTAGTAAGTATTTTAAAAAAATTAAATCAACTTTAATTTTCTGTATTTGTATGTTAAATGTACTGCTGGTTTATTGTAAATAGTTTAATATTAAAATTTCAGAAATACCTTAAAACAAACAGAAAAATTAACACTATCTAAATGTGGATTTAGCCAGCATTTTGTGTAACGTAATCTAACGTAACGTAATTTAATTTAAAAGCCAGGCTAAATCAACCTTAACTATCGAACACAGACTGCTATCACCAAACACACAACACATACAAGTGCCACTCTTGAATAAACGCGAAAACACCCAAGTCCTTCCGGCAGCAGTTTCCTCTAGTATCGCGTACCCGCTGGGGTGAGCAGCACATCACAGCGGGTACCCGATGCAAGAGGAATCCGTGTGCTTGGAGCATACGGGGGTTTTGAAATAGTTTAAAAAGTGCTAAAGATATGTTTATACAGGGTAAAGTTTACAAATTAAATTATCTTTTAAGTTTTTGTTTGCAGTTTAACGTTAAGATTTATTATTATTTGTTAATTATACAGTTAATAATAAAATATCTTATTCTACTTCAAAACGAAGTGCCCTCGTAATCAAGCATGGTGATATAACACCTGATTGATTTTATCTGAAATACATCTATGTATTTGGCATAAAAACAGAAGTGAATTTGCGGCACGCTTTTTTGTCGGCTTTACACCTCGTTATTACAAAGGAAGCTAAATTTTTATAAAATAATAAAAACAGTAAATAATATTCTGTTATTACAATTGTATATTGTTTATTTGTTTTATTTTAAGAAAAAATAAACATTTTGGTAACAATTTTTATTTTTTTTAAGTTGCTTGGGGACAAGGCGCCTATTTCTACGTGGCGCCTAAGGCAATTGCCTTGCCTGCCTAATGGGTAATATGGTCAATTCTCATATAACTTGTTCCGATGCTGTATCCACTTATTTTTGTGAAAACTAATTCTCGCTCAAGGTTTTTTTTTAGTGTAATAAGCATGTAGCATTTCAAGGTAATGGGAACTTAAATTATGACAACCCTAATCTATTAATTTTTTCCTAAAATGCAGGCTTTATGTTGCAAATGTCACATAAGTTACCGGTCACCAACTGCAATATCCTAACATCGATGAATATTTCAACAAAATGGCCGTTCAAACAACTAATGTTAGTGCTTGATTAACTAAAAATAGACTTAAGATTGACAAAAAATTATTTTATCCGAAATCGGCAGTAAAGTAGTCAACAATCGTAAATTAAAATAAATCGGCAGTAAAGTTCTACTTTACTGCCGATTTCGGATAAAAGAATTTTTCGTCAATCTTAATTAAGTCTATTTTGAGTTAATCAAGCACTAACATTAGTTGTTTCAACAGCCATTTTGTTAAAATATTCATCAATGTTAGGATATTGCAGTTGGTGACCGGTAACTTATGTGACATTTGCAACATAAAGCCTGCATTTTAGGAAAAAATTTATAGATTAGGGTTGTCATAATTTAAGTTCCCATTACCTTAAAATGCTACTTGCTCATTACACTAAAAAAAACCTTGAGCGAGAATTAGTTTTCACAAAAATAAGTGGATACAGCATCGAAACAAGTTATATGAGAATTTACCATATGGCCCTGACAATTGCACAAAGAAGTTAAATATCAACTAAAATAATTTATAAGTTTGCCTATAAAAACAAAGCGAAATCCTGATAAATCAAAAGAAATCGCACATTGCGGCGCGTGCCATTGATCCTTTGTCGGCTATATTATAAAGAAAGCCGCTTTTTTATTTAAAAATGGGAAATAATAGTACGATAACTTTTTGCCGCCTTTCGATTTTTGAAGCCCTTCGAATTTTGCCGCCATTAGATTTTTGCACCTCTTTAATTTTTGCCGCCCTTCGATTTTTGCCGCCCCGTGCACGGCGGCACGTACCCTGGAGCCGGCCCTGTTGATAACATTGTAGCATTAAAAAAATACCGCGTTCGGGGAAAAATATTTTTTTGACTTAAGACTATCTCGGTATTTTTGTTCAAGATTTTTTTTGAATTCCAATCGAATTTTCTGAAGCTACTAGTGCATGTGAAACACATAATAGTCGATACATAAAATTGAAATCGGTAAAATTATTCACTAAATTATTCATTATATTCGAATAAAAATCGAAAAATTATATGCAAACCATCCAGTTCGTAGCCTCCAACCAGTAGTAAGACTGGCATGTATGGGTTGTTAGTGGGAAGAGGGGCATATTTTTTACAATTTCGCTCTTTTCACTCATAAGAAGTGTGAGCAAAGGGCGCAGAGGCGAGAGGCCGATTACTGGTTGAGGGGCGGCGAACTAGCTGTTTTACTCTAGAATATGGAAGTTTGCTACTCTCGGAATGTGCAATGACAAGTGAGAGAGAAAAGTCATCGACAAAATTTGTTGCAGACTTCTATCTGTAAGACATCAGAAAACCGTCATGGAAAAATCTTTTTGATTTCTATGAGGTAAAAAAAAAATCTTTCCCCAAATTTGCCGCCCCCAAAATCTGCCGCCCTAGGCTCGAGCCTACTCAGCCTGCTGGTAAATCCGTCACTGGTTACAGCGGCTCAATGTTACGCTCTTTAAATAGGACCCCGTTACGGAAAAGGGAACCAACCGCCAAACACAATTTGTGGGAAATCACATTTAATGTTTTTTAAAAGCATCTTATATGTTGGAAAAAAGGAACATAGGGGAAAGTGGTCGGAAAATCCTGATTACTCACTTGCGTGATCAGATATTTATCTGGATTGTTGGCAATTTTTTTTTTAAACATTTATCTACTTGCTTCATTTTTTTGTTATATCAAAAAATGCTGAATTTAACGGGTATCTATCAGGTTGTCGCCAAATATCGACAAAATATTTTATTGCAAATAAGACAGTTTACATGTGCAATATCGACCAAACATTTTATTGCATATGGGTATATAGGTATAAAAAGAAGTTATTATAAATCTAAACAGTTTTTACAGTCGTGGGGCAATATCGACCACCTATAATGTGATCGGTATTACCTAGCGTTGTTTTTAGAGATCTAAAAACAATGCTATGTATACTATCTATCATTCTCAGGGCCACTGACTCAGGGGCGTACGCAGGATTGTGTCCTGGTAAGTCTGGTAAGTTACAGGCCGCGCGTTATAACTTGGCGAGAACGCCCTATGCTCAGTTGACGTAATTTCGTAATGGTACAGCCCTTTAAGTTCAGTTTAACACGTGGTTGGCATAGTTGGTAAAGTTTTTTGGCTATTTGTTTAATTTTAGTAAACAAGTGCCAACGGCTACGCCCACATGCGTTGAGCTTCGCCAAGTTATAACGCGCGGCCTAATAACTAATAAGACATGTTTACAGTTATAATTATGTATATAATTAAAGATTATATAAAATATAATTCCTAATCAAAGAAGCTACATCTATAAATATTTTTATCTACTACCTAATAATGAATTTAGTAACAATTGGATAAAGATTTTGTTTTTTTAATTCGGCATTGTGAGGATACCGCGTTTTGTCTGGGGGTGAATTTCCCCCCCCCCCCCAAGTTTAGTCCCTGATCACACTGTGATGATCACTTATTGTTTTGAGTTTTGATTTAGCTACTGAACCACTAAACGGTCGATCGCAAAACTCGTATACCTAATTAAATCGTTTTTTATGAATTCCTATTGCTATATATACTACTACTTACTATAGTAAGTATACAAGCAAGATGCAAAATTAAAAAGCATAAAATTCTGGCCAGGATGCGGTAATAAACCAGGGACCCGGACCCAAATGAAATATCGGTTCCTGTCCGGTTCCGGTTCCGAGAGAAACGACAAATTTCGTTTCGGGTTCAGTTACGTTTCCAATAAAAATATTTTTGTCCGGTGCGGACCAATCTTTTCGGTCCATACGGTTTTTTTCGGTTCCAATTTTTTTACCATGTATATATAAATAAGTACCTACTTAAATTATAAAATAGCAATTTTTTTGGCATGTAATTAAATTACTTTGACTCTTTTTTTCAAGTAAGGTTCTTAAATTTTAGGCTCTTTGTCCTCTTTTTCTTTACTTTTATTCTTGATCAGCTGGTTACCTTTATCTTTTTCTTCAGATCTTGTGATTGAAAAACTGGAAAATTTATATTTGAAATAAAAAAAGTTCGCATGTACATATATGTATATGAAATAGGAGTTGCGAAAAAAGGTTGTTTTCTGGTCTCAAATTTTTACTTCCCCCAACAAGATTAAACATAAAAGAAAAAAATTAGAGGAACAATTATTTGCGAGAACCAACAATTTTTGGAGAAAAATTTGAGACCAGAAAACAACCTTTTTTGCAACTCCTATTTCATATAGATGCGAACTATTTTAGGGACATTGTTTTCTCATTAGGCGATATTTGCAATGCTATTTGAGGTACTTAAATATTAAAGTGACTATAAAGGTAAAATAAGAAACATTAATGTATCTCAAAAAACTAGTCCATTATAAAAATTAATAAAACTCAAACACTAAAAAGTGTTTTGTTGCAACTGTTTAATTAAATTTAAACAGTTTGAATAAAACTCAACAAAACAAACATTACGATACAAAATAATTTTATAGATTCTTTTAACGAAACAAAATATATATATTTTAATTATTGCAAAAAGAAATTAAGAAAAAAACCGAAAATAACCTAAAAACCCGTTTTAAATTTAAAGGGTTCGGGTTCGGTCTCTAGATCTAGTTACATTTAAAAATAATATGGATTGGATTACGGTTCCGGTCCACAAATAAATACCGGTTTTGGTCCGGTTTTCTGTCCAAAAACAGTCCGGTCCGGGTCCCTGTAATAAACCCTTAATTGACAAAATGTCCATTGGTTCCCTTTTTGCATAACAGAGTGCAATACTCGTAGTTCTCCAATTAGCCTTGATGGCTAAAATGTGATGAAAAAATGCCATATATAAAAGTAGATCTAAAAAATACCAATAAATATAAAAAAATGTTTGTTAGGTTTGGCGCCCTGTATCTTTTTAGGGGCTAAATACAGAAAGTTTTTCCTTAAAAGCAAATATTTTATAAAACCTTTTTTGAATATATCTGTATCTATAATAAACTTAGTATTCCTAATATTTACGTATTTTTCTTTTAAAGGTGCCCTATCTGGAAGCGTAAGAGGAAAAAGAGTAATACTCATTGACGACTCAATAGTCCGTGGTAATACGATAGGTCCCATTATTAAACTGTTGCGTAATGCAGGAGCCAAAGAGGTACACATTAGAATAGCTAGCCCTCCACTTCTTTATCCTTGCTATATGGGTATAAATATACCAACAAGAGAGGAGCTTGTCGCAAACAAACTTAATCCCAAGGAGCTGGCAAATTTCGTGGGAGCCGACAGTTTGGCTTACTTGAGCGTTGATGGTTTAATAAAGGCTGTAAGATCGGACATCAAAACCAAAACATCACAAAAAGTTGGCCATTGCACCGCATGTTTAACTGGCGAATACCCTGGGGGAGAACCAACTCAATTGGAGTGGTAAATTTGATAAGTAAATGTGAATTTTGATTTTTTAATTAATAGGGGAACTGTCTCCATTATCAAAACCTGGACAGAGTGAAAAGTATTTGGAACGACAGAAAAGGATTATACCTACCTATTTTAATATTATTATATTTACCTATTGATTTTATTTTTTTCATATAAAATATGTATATAGGTACGTACTTTGTTTATAATAAACATCGTTATTTAAACCCAAGATATTTTAATTAGAAAAAAATCAAGACGTTTTTCATCCCGCCACCCTGGACCTTGAGATCGCAGCTGCTCTTCCCAGCTGTTTGCTGGGCGTTTTCCCCCCAAACCTGGTAAATCATCGACCAATCCTACCCCTCCACCCTCACCCGCAGTAGCCATGTCGGCCATCGTTATTGGTGCGCGGAGTGCGCGGCGCCCAATGAGCGATTCGATATTCCCACTGCGCGGAAGGCAATGTTTACCAATTTTTAAAGTGGCATTAAGCTGCCGTTATCAGCCTGCTGCAAACTTTCTCTCGCTGCTGTTTGTTTGTTCACTCGGCAGCGAGTTGATGCCAGACTGTTGGTTTATTTGATGATATTACTTTCGCGATTTTTTACGAGACAACGATTTTAATTATGAGCGCTTGGTTCAATTTTATGAATTGACTCTGTTAACCAAAAATATTTTAAAGAAAAAATAATTCTCTTCAGACAGCATTTTTATAAAATTGAACTAAGCGCTTATTATCAAAATCGTCGTCTCATAAAAGTAAAAATCCCTATACATAATTATAATTAACATAATATAATTATACCGATAGGTATACCTATAGATATAAGAAAATAGGTACTCAAAAGAGCTTGTCTTGCATAAGTAAACCTGAGATCTGGAAAAAACAGAACGAATAACCTGCCGAGTAGGTCGGCCAGTAGACAATATATTGTCTAGGTAGGTATAGACCTACCTACCTATTTGTGTATTGATACATATCTCGCAAATTGATACATATCTCGCGAAAGCGGCAATGTCACTTTGCCCTCGAATTACACACAGAACTTTTGTACAACCGGTGTTTTTATAAAAATGTTTGGTAATAATTAATAACACTGTAGGGAGGTGAAAATATTACAGCTAAACGCTCGGACACGTAAACTTAATTTTTGGTCGTAAATTACAAATTCGTGCTTGGTTTAGCTGTATCAGGTCAAAATTCAAAGATATTGGATACACCCTGTATAAATTTAAAAAAAAAAAATCAATTTTGCTGGACCCACACATTAGTTCAAAATTAAAAGTGTTGCAAAATTTGCAAGCGTCAATTGACGTTTAAAATCATTTATAATTTTATAGGTAACTTTATAATTATAGGTAAAGTTATAAAATTATAAATAATTTTAAACAAAACTAAAAAACTAAAATGTTGCGACGTCCTCACTACAATAACTTAAGTTATTGTAGTGAGGACGTCGCAACTTTTAAGTGGGTCTCAAAACGTTAAGAACAGGGCCATGCAGGCGCTGAATATCTTAAGACGGCCCTGGTTAAGAAACGATGTTATAGGCAAATCCGCGCTTTTAAAGATTATTTAGAAAATCTAAAGCGATTCTAAATTAGAATCGCTACTAATCCTTTTGATGATTTTTGAAAAAAAATCTGGTAAAACCAATGGGTTTCTGTATTTATGTAAGTAGGGGAAGGTGGGGGAATTTTGCGCGGTGGGTAACGCAATTAAGCTTGTAGCTTGGTACCGTACGTGAATTGATTATACCTATATAAATATTTTTATTTATAGGGATTTATTATTATTGACAATGTTTGGCCAACTTTTCACTCGAGAGAAATATGCCGTATTCCAAACTTATTACAGAATATAGGTTCTAGATATTCTGTTATACAAAATTCATTACAATGATTACATCTAAATTATTGCCAATAGCAGTGGCGGCTCGTGGGTGTACCAGGAGGGTGAGGCTACATAAGGTTAATTTTGTCTAAATACGAATAAATTTCCACGTCACCCGGGAGGTATTATTCTGCAACGCGTTGACCTTTTTTTAAAATGGAGCCGATAGCACTACTAAACCAAAAAATAAACTCTAAAAAACAAAACAAACAAAATATCACATCAAAGACTAGTTTTAATCTTAAACTTAAAATATAGTCTTAAAAAAGTTAAAAATAAATAAATTAATCAAAAAATAAAAATAAAACTAAAAAGTCGACCCCTACCTAAGTATTAAAAAATATAAAATACTATACGTCTATCTTTTAAGATTGAAAATTTATCTATTATTTGGTCGTAAAATTGTGGGTCTGCAGTGAGATTTAAAAGTAGGTAATTCTAAATTTTCAAACCGCGTCTCTAATTGAAGAATTATGCAATCTATTATTTCAAAATATAAAATTTGCTTAATAAAAACTGCTAAATCTACCTTAGTGTGTTCCCTACAATAATTAAATAAGAAATTTTACTAATCGAGACAAAAACTATAAAAGATCAGCCAAAAGTTTTAAATAATTTAATCTGAATCAAAACAATAACGTGCTCTACAAACGCTAAGAGAAGACTGGCAACCTTCTTTGTCTCCGCTGGCATCCCACCATAAACGGACCACCAATCAGAACAAACCAAGCCAACTAAATTTCGCCTCATCTACGGTGTTTATTCGCGAACTTACGGCGATATTTTTGTTGGTGAGTCATTTTCGCTTTCAAGAGGTAAATGGGAGCTTCCGAGGCTGTGAAAATTTCGCCTCTGTCCAAGCGACTCAACGATGCACGTTAACTTGACGCGCTTTGCGCCTGGATTTTTATTTACGCTTAATATGATTGATTGGTTTTTTACTTTTTATTGGGTAGAACTGTTGTAAAAATACACTTGTAATAGGCAAAAATATAAATACAAAAAGTCGTTCGTTCCTTTATTTTAAGGGTGAGGCGCGGCCTCAGAGGCCTACCCTGACGAGCCGCCACTGGCCAATAGTTCTGGTTAACATCTTAATTTATAATCATGTTAAAATATGATTAATAAGATGTAAAATACTTACTCTGTATACACCTATAGGTTATATTATAGTATTTTTTTGGTGGTTGAAAAAAATATTAATTCTATTTTTATAGTAATAGAATTTTCATAATAAGAAATAAAACTATAAATAAGAATCTAAAATACGGGAAGAAAGCACCTTGTCCTTATGTTCTTTAAAAATAAGTCTTCATTCATTTTGTAAATAAAAAATAAGTAAATAAACAGAAAACCGGCCTGTCTACGGCCAAAAGGACTACCTAAATGGATGCTTAAGCAAACATCAACCCAAACGCACCACTCACACACACATTCTCGCCGATCAACACATGGAGACACATATCGTCGTGTCGGTGGTATCGCGCGCCCTTCCATGCATCGCACAAACTTGGCACCCATCAGCCGGGCAGGAGCAAAAGCAGCAGCAGCAGCAGCAGCAGAGCAGTAGCTACCGCCCTGAAAACCATCCAATTGCAGGTCCTGCGACGCCTTTTCGGTTTTACGCGCCGCGTCCAAATGCGTTTTGACTGCCTTCGCTTTTGCAGCTGACCCCGTTAAAACGTTCGTCTTCGTCGCAGTCGTCGTTGTCTTGTGTGTTGTATGTGTTTTTTGTTGTTCTCAAGTGCTCAAGTGTCCCGACCGTCTCCGGTCACGTTCCAGTAGGAGGTAAGTGCTCGTTGGTCGTCCGTGCCCCTTTTGCCAAATAGGAGAATGTGTGATTTGGCACGATCACGTTCATGTTCGTGTGCCTTTTCAGGTTTTGCGCATGAAAACGCTTTTCAGTTATCCTCTGAACCTCATACATCTCGCGTACTCACGATTATAGTAATTCAATGTTTAATTTGCCTTTTTTGTTCATTGTTTTGTTCGAGGTGATAATTGTGACGCTATGTATAAAAACGCGTAACATAGCATCCTTATACAAACGCGAAAATGATTGTGCCGGTCATATTATTTACACTATTCGGTTATTTTATAAAATTATTGTATAGTCCTTTGTGAAGAGACCTTTTCCTAATTGGATTAGTTACCCGCCCTGCAGAATGCTCGAAGCTCCTGAGGTAGGATATCAAACCAAAACCTTAAGGTGTCTGGGAATGCGTAAATTTGCGAATCTTGTAATTGCGTGAAACTATAATTTTACGCAATAGCTATAATGATTATTATAGTATATAATATTATAACAGCAATTATAATTTTACGCAATAACTATAATATCTAATTAATTAATTAATTAGAAGCTCCAAGTGGATCAGTAGTACCTAAAAACAAATATTATTTTATCTTTCAGTAAAAGTATTACTTACTGGCATTCGTACATCTTTGATAATTGTTATAATAAATATTAAGTATCGTTTAACAAATAAAACTGTGCGCCTGTGTGCTTCACTTCTCAGCCTTATGACATAATAATATATTCTGTAACAAGTTTGGAATACGGCATATTCCGCTTGAGTGAAAAGTTTGTCACACGAGCCGAAGGCGAGTTTGACGGTTTTACGAGAGCGCAAAATGGAATTCCAAACGTGTTTCAGACTTTACTTTTTCTACGTTTTCAAAAATACCATAGAAAAACAATTTAGTTATGTTAGATAATAAACACAGAGATGTCGCCACCAGTGTTTATTCTGTCATCAGGTGAAAGAATAATTCATTTTGTTTCTTTAAGGAATATATGTAATTCCACATTAAAAAGTGATATTAGAACGGTCATATTCCGTAATAGAAGTAGAAAAATAACTATTATCTTCAATAAAACAATCTTCCAGTCTGTAAATAACCGTTTGGACCAATCAAAAAATTCGACTACTGTCAGATCTGTCAGGTTAGAACCTCACTTTCTACGTATATTAATTATTATAATTTTATGTTTTAACAAATAAAATTGTGCCTTGAAGATAAAATGTTGTAAGCAATGCGGCTGAGAAGTGTGTTGTTGTGCTTCGCTCAATTGTCCGATGTCGTTTAAATTACATTTTATTGACACATATTACAAAAAATGACGATTACGATTTATTTTGTAAAACCATCCATTTTAATTAAATCGGTCAATGTTTGAAATAAATATAAAAATGTGTTTTTTTCTGAATTTCATAAGTTGGCTTTATTTAAATTAAATTATTTGTTTACAGTTACCATAAAAAAAATATTTTTTTCGATGTTGCCAAAATGAAGAACATTTCTATCTCAATTTTAAAA